TACACTTATACACTATTTTCATAAACACACTTGTGTCGGAGTAGGCGAACAATTACAAATACATACATATAACACATTTAATGTTCAATGTTGTTAAATCGTCTTTGTACGGACAGGCTAAATTGTTTGCGCAGAAAGATTTAAACGTAGCTTTAGTAATGAAGAGGGTATACGTTATTAAGTCCCCGGACGGATTTCTTGTTGACTTTATTGAAATTAGACATTTATTTCTAATTAAAAGTTAGAGAAAAAAACTATTACCTGTAAACTGAACGAGATTGGATTGTCCAAAGAATACAAGGACTTCAGAGTTCGGATAAACTATCATCATCCTCTAGCAAGGAGTATATCCTCTAACAGAAAAAAGCCATAAATATGGCGTGCAATCGACAAATAGTGTATTGACTCGAAATTTTCTATATAAGTATGAATTTAAGATGTTTAGATTTTATCGAGGTATTTTATAGATTAGCCTCTTTTGTCAAATTGGGCACCCTTTTTCCTTTTTTATTTAATGTTCAATTTTTATGTTTCACTCAAATTAAAATTCCATTGAAACGTGATTTGACATATGGAAATGTCTTGTTTACACAGGTATCAACACCTCAACGATTGTTTTATTGATACAATATAGTTTTGACAGCACATATTGTTTTTATTTGACAACTTATTTAAATGGTAACATACTTGATTGACAACATGCCTCATTATTTACATAATTATCTGATTGACAACATATCTCACTTATTACATAATTATCTGATGGACAATATGTCTCACTTATTACATAATTATCTGATTGACAACATGTCTCACTTATTACATAATTATCTAATTGACAACATGTCTCACTTATTACATAATTTTCTAATTGACCACATGTCTCATTAATTACATAATTATCTGATTTACAACATGTCTCACTCATTACATAATTATCTGATTGACAATATGTCTCACTTATTACATAATTATCTGATTGACAACATGTCTCACTTGTTACATAATTATCTGATTGACAAAATGTCTCATTAATTACATAATTATCTGATTTACAACATGTCTCATTAATTACATAATTATCTGACTGACAACATGTCTCACTTATTATATAATTATCTGATTGACAGCATGTCTCATTAATTACATAATTATCTGATTGACAACATGTCTCACTCATTACATAATTATCTGATTGACAACATGTCTCACTTGTTACATAATTATCTGATTGACAAAATGTCTCATTAATTACATAATTATCTGATTTACAACATGTCTCATTAATTACATAATTATCTGACTGACAACATGTCTCAGTAATTACATAATTATCTGATCGACAACATGTCTCACTTATTACATAATTATCTAATTGACAACATGTCTCACTTATTACATAATTATCTGAACGACAACATGCTCATTAATTACATTATTATCTGATCGACAACATGTCTCATTAATTACATAATTATCTGACTGACAACATGTCTCATTAATTACATTATTATCTGATCGACAACATGTCTCACTTATTACATAATTATCTGATTGACAACATGTCTCACTCATTACATAATTATCTGATTGACAACATGTCTCATTAATTACATTATTATCTGATCGACAACATGTCTCATTAATTACATAATTATCTGACTGACAACATGTCTCAGTAATTACATAATTATCTGATCGACAACATGTCTCACTTATTACATAATTATCTAATTGACAACATGTCTCACTTATTACATAATTATCTGAACGACAACATGCTCATTAATTACATTATTATCTGATCGACAACATGTCTCATTAATTACATAATTATCTGACTGACAACATGTCTCATTAATTACATTATTATCTGATTGACAACATGTCTCACTTATTACATAATTATCTGATTGACAACATGTCTCACTCATTACATAATTATCTGACTTACAACATGTCTCATTAATTCCATAATTATCTGACTGACAACATGTCTCAGTAATTACATAATTATCTGATCGACAACATGTCTCATTCATTACATAATTATCTGATTTACAACATGTCTCACTCATTTCATAATTATCTGATTGACATCATGTCTCATTCATCACCTAATTATCTGATTGACAACATCTCTCATTAATTACATTATTATCTGATCGACAACATGTCTCATTAAATACATTATTATCTAATCGACAACATGTCTCATTAATTACATAATTATCTGACTGACAACATGTCTCATTAATTACATAATTATCTGATCGACAACATGTCTCATTAATTACATTATTATCTGATCGACAACATGTCTCATTAATTACATAATTATATGAATGACAACATGTCTCATTAATTACATAATTATCTGATTGACAACATGTTTCACTTATTACATAATGATCTAATTGACAACATGTCTCACTGATTTTATATTTTATTGATATGTCTCAATGGTAACCTATCTGACAATACTTTTGTTTTACAACATATTTCGTTGACAACATGACTCACTGATTAAATATGTGATCGATAAAATAGGTTATTGACAATATATCTGATGGAGATCATTTACCATTGTTAATTGATAGCATAAAAGATTGACAACGTATCTTGTTGAGAACATAACCATTATGTCCTTGATACATTTCAATTACCAAACACATAACATAGAGTGCCACTCCTTTGATTGTGAATCAACAACTGTGCACCGTATCTTTGTAATCCCACTGCACCACCTCTTAAATAGTACATTACTATGCAACGTTTTTCATTTTGTTTTTATATTTCGAAGGATTTGTCTCCCTATCTCGACTGCCTTTCTCACCATCGCACACTGTTAAAGTATATGTAACTGGGTCAGGGACACAAGCACATGCATTCGTCCTGTTTTATAACTATTCAGCCACATGCCACATTCAGGTACATTGCTTCTATTATAAATGATTTGTCGATAGGTTAAATGGTAACTATTCTGTCTACCAAAGGAATATCATTGAAATGGGTTTTTTGTGTGTTTTGTAGTGTATAATGATTCCCTTTCTTTCTGTAAACAAATTTACTATTCAGGAGTTTGATTTAAAATAATTATTTGTTTCTTGTTTTCTAAATGATCCATTTAGTGTTATAGATAACGATATATAATGAAATGTTAATATAAACCTAATTTGTTCTTCATGAGAAATACATCTTTTTTCATTTGTTTCGTGATAAATATATGGTAAGCTTGTATTTGTTGTGTCTTTTATTTAAAAAACCGAATCTCATTTACTATGCCACAGATTAAAAATAAAGGATTTTGTGTTTCATCTTCCTGTGCATAGAAAATCCACAAACCATTAGACTCATGAGTTTATTTCAATTTTATTCAGTTTTTACAATTTTTAAATTACAAAGATATTTCCAATAACTTGCTTTGCTTTTATCGTCACTTGCTGCTATATTTACTAATTTCCAAATCGGTTTCCTGTAGATATTATTTTCTTCAAAATGAGTTTGCCATTTTATGTACGATTTTATGGTATGCTGTTTGCTTTAAGGGTTTTTTCTCAACATTTTGGAGACCCTGTTTTACACATTCAAAAACAAGAAGTCCTAGTAAAAGTTGAATTTATTAATTTATGTTATTCTGTGAGGTGATATGTAAATGTACATGTAAATAATGTAAAATAGAACACTGACAAATCAGCAAGGGCCGGGCCATGTGCTGTACCGTTTAAGTAACGGAGACCTTGACCTTTACATTAGAGAATTGTTAAACGTGTATTGCATATTTACATCTCAAAACGTCCTTTGAATTCTGAGAAAAGGACAGAACCCGCATGGTCATTTTTAGTTACAGTGTTGCCTATCGTAACCTTAGAAACCTTTAAAACACTATTGTTCATCTACATATAACAGTGTTTAACCATGTCAAATTAAAACAAAAGCAAAGACTTTAAGATTCTGAGAAAAGGCCCGCACCCCGCCAATGACTACTTATAGGAACAGTGACCTTGACTTAAGAACGTTTTCAAACCCCCATTGCACATCAACATATAACAGTGCATCAACATGTGAAATTTAAAAATGTTTTTTGACTCTTTGATAAGTACCATACACATAATGGTCTATTTTTAGTAAGAGTGACCTTGAACTTAGCCCTAGACACTTTTTGAATTCCTACCGTACATTGAACATATCATATTTTACCACCATGTCAAATTTCAATTTGTCTTTTGGATGTTGGGATAACGAAAGTGGTGGCGGACAGACAGATCGACCAACGGACACCGTGGCTAGTATACGACGACCGCATCCCCCCTGTTGAAATGGATGCATTGAAAGGTCAACAGTTTAAACAAATGATAGTTTTCATTATAAAACCCCGTGTTTCATGTTTCATGTTTTAAAACTAGTAAAGGTAGTTCGGTAGATTTTTACAATCAACATTTCTGGAAAACAAACCATCAGAAAGTGTTGATAACTCTATTTGACGATCAAAATTGCCATATGAAGACAATTTAATACAGGACTTACAGCGCATGTAGCACAGTTCCTTTTTAGGACAGGTTTACGCATGATGGAGAAGAAAAAAATAAAAAAATACATGTATCTATATTATTGGTTTAAAACAATATCTTGAATTAAACCAAAAATCTTTTTATTCGTCATAACAACTGTTGGGTTGATAGAACAACCTCTAAAGAGAACATGTATTTAGCACTATAAGATGATGTACCTCTCACATACGTTCTCTGACAGGCAGTGAAACCTTCATCTGCACATGTTAATTTACATTGCGAGGGTGTAAAGTGTTATGGAACAAGGTTAATAACTTTTGACGGGTGCTGTTGGCCTGTCTGGTCGATGCAGGCATTGTTTTCCATTACTCTTCACATATGGGTTAGATTAGCTTGGCCTATTTCAACACTATATCCTTCAACGGAAATCAGATACTTTAGTACTAAAAGTGTCTATATATAACACAGCTATGGAGAAGACTCGATCCTACATGCACGTGTTCATAGTGTATTGTGTGATAGATACATGTGAAGGGAGGACGTCTCATTGTCGTAGTGGTCTAGGATCACCCTACCAATGCTTAACATCAGAGGTGAGATATAATTAAGTTTTGAATATATATATGTGTACTTAAGTGTAACAACGGCGGCAATCGTAGTGTATTGATATATATATATATATATATATATGTATATTATAAAAAGAAAAATTCTTAACAACGAGTCTTTAGTTCGACTTACGGATCGACTTGATTTATAATATATATCTACTTACGGATCGACTTGATTTATGATATATATCTACTTACGGATCGACTTGAACTAAAGACTCGTTGTTAAGAATTTTTCTTTATATAATATATATTCGTTTGTAAGGATCATTTTTTCTGATTTATAATATATATATATATATATATATATACAAAACAAATGACAAGAGTTTCTTAGTACCTCCCTGTCGCTTTCACCTCTTACTTGCATATATATTAGACATTTAATGAAATTCTATGATTAGCCATTTGTATTAGAATGTATGTTGTACAAAAATGAGGTTTTATAACGCTAAGGCTTATTTTTAATTACAATTCAATACATCTATTAGGTAAAATATAGTCCATAAAACACTAACCATTAAACGTCAGTAAAATCAACAAAAATGTAACAAATATAATTGTATAATATCCATTACTGGTAAATGCATTTATATGTATATGCAACAAATTCATTTGAACTTATACTTACATAACAAAATGTATTTGAAAATATAGCAACATTGGATTTATTTTTTCTGTTCGTAGACAAATCACACTAAGACACCCATGTCAAAAAGCGTAACGATAGTATGCGGTTGACCTGAAGAACAATTGGACAGATGGCAAGTAACGGCAAGTGTGAGGCTGAGGCAGATGTGTAAGTTACGTGAAGTTTAAATTAAATTAAGATTAGATACTACTTCAGAACAGCTATTGGAAGTACTTATTTTGTTGTTGTACTCCAGTAATGACTTGTTAATTTGTTGGCAGCATAGGCGACCAAGAAATATGTATTACCTCTCATTAATTTAGTTTCCGCTTAAGTCTTAAATCTAAACAAGTTGACATTTTCCAAAAGACAACACGTATTTTAGTTAATGATATATTGCAATTTTTATTTATAGAGATTCAAGTACATATATAAGGTAACTACATGTATGCATATTACTGTATGTATACATCTTTAACTAGTTTGTTTGCCAAATATGTACGATTTATCCAAGTAACCGACAGATGATACGTTTAAGTATTCTATAGGAGGGGTACATTGGGTGTGTAAAAATGCCAGTATAATGTTAAGAACTCAACAAAAGGAGTTAAAACTTAAATAAAGATAACAAAAGTGAGTGTGGGTGGGCTTGAAGTGCCAAGTAAGATACGTCGACTTGCACACAGTTCTAAATTCAAAGATTTGTGGTCAATAAGTATCGTCTACCCGCCTCATCATTCTTCATCCATACGGTATTTTAGGGGACAAAAAAGGTAGGTAAATACTTAGATATTTACGGTATCGAATAATTCATTACAAGAGAATTTATCTGCATGAGTATAATGTATCGGGTGTCTAGATGTATGCTAGTAGACAAATAAAACACGATATGCAACGATATTACTGCAATAGAGTCATTGTGGGTCGTAAGTCAATAATTGCTAGTCTTTCTAAATCATCAATTTTTGTTTTAGTTGGCGTTAATTTGTACATTATGGATTTTCAAACGTGTAACACATACATGAAACATTTCTTATTTCGGTGTATTGTCGTTTTTCAGCATAGACAAAACAAATTATAATTCTTTGTTATTTCATTAAGAAAGCCACCCCGTTTTATATACGGATGTCTTTGTAAGGAAGATGAAACACAAAATCATTTAGTTTTAATCTGTGGCATAGTAAATGAGATTTGGTTTTTTTAAATAAAAGACACAACAAATACAAGCTTACCAAATATTAATCACGAAACACTTTTAATTAAATAGCAATAGGTGTATGACGTCATCAGCTTTGCTCTAAACTTGAAGTTTTAACATATCATTTTAGCATGTCCTTTCTTTATCTTCAATAAGACTAATTAATTTGGAAATATGTGATATCAAAGTTTTACTTTCTACACAAACAATGTACGTATTAAACGTGTCAAACTATGACAAAGGGACCAGCCGATCTTGAAACGTTGCGACACGCTTAATAAAAGTACCTTGTTTTTGTAGAAAGTAAAACTAAATGTCCTTTTTTGTCTAAATTCACTTTTAGTTTTCACTTTCACATTTCTTATTTAAAAAATGTCTGCATTGAATGAGCAAACCCTAATTTCTTCAGGAGAGACAAGCGGGCTACATCCAGAAAGTTAAAACAGAACACGGATTGACATAAATTAGAACAAAGTGTGAATGTCTCATTTATCATTTTAAAGTATTCTACGTATATTTAGACACACTTTTGTATTTATTGTATGTAAGAATATAAAGGGCTTGAGGTTACGGTTCAAAAATGTTCAGCATAACGAATACAAACTTGTGGCAAAACTAGTGGCTCTATATCTATTTTAAGACTGTCATTGTGTGAGCTCGAATATTAATACTACACTGGGTTTATATCAGAACGTTGACCTTTCAACTTTGACCTACGGTTATCGTGAATTCGTTAAACGTGTGTTGCATACTTAAGTAGCATTTACACACTGTAGTCGGAGATTTAAGCTAAGACTTCTTCAGGAGTACACCAAGGGAAGGTCAACAATTATCAACATGTCTTCACTAAGAAGGCGACAAACCCATCCAGAGCGGCGCGCAAGAGGTATACTAGCGTATGTATGTAATATCAGGTCACGAGTCCATATTGGGCAGATCACATTTCAGTATATGTGTCGGCAGTAGTCACCTAAAACTCAGACATGAGCGAGTTATTTTTATTTCACTTGTGAACCTTGACTCGAGATGAAATAATAATTTGTTTTATTTGACTGCGAGTGTTCCTGTCATGAATGGTGAAAGGGATGTTAATCTATCACATAATTAGACCTTCTATTTCAGTTCATATTCAGATATCCGGATCTTGACCTCTGTTTGTAAGCTACCCCATGTAAACACCACTCATCTGAAGCTAAAATGTAAAGATATTATGAAAATGAAATTGTGTTGGAAACGTTCAAACTTGCAATCACAACTAGGCATTCTTGAATACATATTCAATACATATATAATTCTCAGCGGTTTACGTTTTGTACGTTTTCAAACATTTCAATTATTAAACATAAACTAGCATACTCACTTTATAACGGTACGCGTGTAAAATAGGTGAATTTGCAGAGAGGCATGATCGAAATACTATGGTACATGTATGCTTAGTGCATGCATGAATATGCATGCCCTTTTTCAATGGATAACATTAAAAATATTTTTAGTATTGTATTAAAATATTCATTTTACCTATTTACAGAAAAGACAGCGAGAAGGACGGCGGTTACCTGACCTACCTGACCAGTCGTCCTTTACTTATCATCGGATTATGTCTGGTATTCGTTATCATTTATACCATAGCACTGACCGTAGGGATGGTACTAGCCATACGGAACAACAACAACAGTCACGTGGACACCTCTGGAGAAATGACTGGTGGTCAAGGTGCTGTAGTCTGTGACCACGAGACCTGTTCAGAGATTGGCAGGTAAACCACAACTAGAGCTGGGTATTCTGTAACTGTGATACAAATACATCCAAAACAAAATTAAGGGGATGTTATTGTATTTACGAAAAACCAGAGTGCAGTGAGACAGACTTAACATACCTGTAACACATCAGCGTAAGGCTAACTACATCATAACAGAAGTGTTCCTCCATACAGCACGAATTAACACACAGAGACAGTGACCTACCATGATATACAAACATATATAATTCCTCCATCACTATTAGGATTTTCAGAACGTCAAATGTAAATTGTAGTCAATATAGTTACCATATGATTTTCTTCATCAGTTGCTACAGTGATGGATGTGGTTGGACACTATTGACGTTGTTAAAGGATACTACCCGTGTCTGTTTTATTTTACAGAGACATTTTTAAGAAAGGAGGGTCAGCCGTGGATGCCGCTATAGCGACTTTACTCTGTGCCGGCCTCATGTCACCCCACAGTATGGGCATAGGAGGAGGTAAGGCTCATGCTAACGACAAGTCATTAAGCCAACTACCTACCTTGCCACCATTAGCCAAGGTACAAAATGATGATCTAGAAGGTTTTGGTGACAAATCTATGCATATTTACCAAGGCATTGGTTTAATACAAAATAATAGAGCACATTGTAAACTGTTTGTAGTATTTAGGACATAGCGTATATCAATGTGTTATTGTCCTTAAGACATTATATATACTCTCTCATGAACACAGATTACTAACTGTTGGCAGGAAATATTGAGTTCTCCTTGTCAATAAAAAACTTTATGTATGTATTTTATTCATGAGACAATTATATATTTTTTTGAGACGGAGACACCCTTTTGTTGCTATGTTCTTGGTTTCTACTTTGTTTCGTTCTACGTGAGTTGACTCCACCTTCTATGTCATATTTTTTCCTGGATTAGACGGAAGACATGACACGTACCATAAGTGATACAAGAAATATTTTTCGTTCTGAATAACCTGGATATTAATTGTTTAGTTCATGGTGCCTTTTTTCTTCAGTCCTAATGTTGTCTCTAAGTATCGACTTCAAATTTTGTCCTTGTGTATTGAGTCTTTGGTTGAATGTTGGATTGTTTGCCTAGGGTGGGAGATATGTTGGCCGTTTAAAATATTCTATCTATGTGTATTTTTGCTGTGATGTGTTATATTTTGTTGAAGCTTGGGTATTTGTTTGACATTATAGTGAATTTCTGTTAATTTTATGGTACACTGTAGTTTTTGTGGGTTTACGCTCTCGTAAGCTCGTGTTTTCTTATTGAAACTGTCGTTTAGTTTGCCATCGTTTATTGCTGCTGTAGAATAGTACATGCATGTTACGCTTGTTTCCTGTCACGTTGGGCGTTTCTTTGTAGGTTAATAATGTGACATATTCTCCTCTTGTGTGTGTTGAGGCCTTGGTACAATAGATTTATATATTTTTTAATATTAACTTTATCCGTTAACCTTTACCATACGCATATCATTCGTGTTGAGCTGGTTTGATATATTTTTATATGACATGCCCCTACCTTTTGACCATGTTATGTCTTGTATGTCATTGTGTGTTTACGTTGTGGTATGTTCTGTACCTGTTTGTTATCGCTGTGGTACCAGATATGCCCTTTTGTATCATTTTCATTCCATTAGGCAGAATTTACGATACACATATGAGTCAGTCGAGTAACACTGGTTTGCTTGCTTGGGTAGAGTTTCTTGTTTCCGTTAAAACTAAGGTCATGTGAAGGCGGTATCCACAGAGGATGGGATTACTGCAGGAACACGTTTAAGTGTCATCTTCCTAATATTTCATAGGCTCGAGATGAAAGCATAACATATCATTCGGTTGTATTATTCAGACAATGAGCTAAAATAGGTTGCTTCCGGATGATGTCGTCAAATAGACAAGAATGATGTTTCAAGTTGTGCAGACCACGTTTGGTACATTGTTTTTTACCTTCGGCGTCCACAAGACGTGAAAATTATACTGCAGTCAGAGGGTCCCAAATTAGTCACCAAAAAGGTGACGGGATTTGACGGGAGTATTATGGTATGGGTTTGTCCGGCCGGCCGGCGTAAACTTTTGTTTGTCCGGTAATCTCTTGCAAAAGTTATTACCTTTTGTTTATTTCAGTATTTGATTTTTGTCCGGCAATCTGCTCCTACATTTTTTTTTACGGATCTCTTTGAAACTTGGTATACATTATAATCATGATATGAAGTTGTGTCTCCATTAAAAGAATTTTGATTTGACGATTTATCCGAAAGTAGTGGTCCTTTGTTCATTTCAGTATTTGATTTTTTGTCCGGCAATCTCCTCCTACATTTTTTGACGGATTTCCTTGAAACTTAATAGGCTAAATAATCCTGATATGTTGTTGTGTTTCCTTGAAAAGAATTTTGATTCGACAATTTTTGCAAAAGTTATTGCCCTTTGTTTATTTCAGTATTTGATATTTGTCCGGCAATCGCCTCCTTCATTTTTCAACGGATCTCTTTGAAACTTGGTATACATTATCATCATGCTTTGAGGTTGTGTCGCCCTTAAAAGAGTTTTGATTCGATAATTTTTCCAAAAGTAATTGCCCTTTGTTCTTTCAATTTTTGATTTTTTGTCCAGAGATTTTCTCCTGCATTTTTTATAGCATGTCAGCTAACCACGCTTAGAATGATGCAGATCTCATTTCAATGTAAGAAAGTACATAACACTCTATGGCATTCGACAGGCGTATATTGTTCCGCCCCGCGGTACTCTTGTTCTGTTTTATATTCTAATAACCTGTAAGGGACAATAGTTTACCAAAATTATATGAATAGTTATATAATGTGTAGTTTATTTTATTACCTTTACGCAATCTATCTACATTGTAGAAATATCAGAAATTTATACCTTTATACCTCGTTATACTGCCATCATTTTTTGCATATCCTAAATTAAATAAAGATTTATAATGATATTGGGAAATGTTAACGGTGAGCAGAGGGGAGGTTGAAATTTAAGGGTATCATATCGGGGTTCTCGTACGAATAATAGAATCTCGTTAGTCCAAACATGTCTGTTTCATGATAGAATATCCAGAATAAGGAACTTAACAGTCATAATGATGTTCTACCTACAAAATACCTCAATGCTAATTTTGCAGGGAATTTTATGGTCATATATGACGCTGAGACCAAAAAGACACTTACCATTAATGCCAGAGAGACAGCGCCAAGTGGACTTTCCTTAGAGCTAAACACACAGACGGGGCCAAGGCAGAGTGAGTATACAAAACACACAGACGGGGTCAAGGCAAAGTGAGTATACAAAACACACAGACGGGGTCAAGACAGAGTGAGTATACAAAATACACAGACGGGGTCAAGGCAGAGTGAGTATACAAAACACACAGACGGGGTCAAGACATGTGGGAATACAAAACACACAGACGGGGTCAAGGCTGAGTGAGTATACAGAACACACAGACGGGGTCAAGACAGAGTGATTATACAAAACACACAGACGGGGTCAAGGCTGAGTGAGTATACAGAACACACAGACGGGGTCAAGGCTGGGTGAGTATACAAAACACAGAGACGGGGTCAAGGCTGAGTGAGTATACAAAACACACAGACGGGGCGAAAAGGCTGAGTGAGTATACAAAACACACAGACGGGGTCAAGGCTAGTGAGTATACAAAAAGCACAGACGGGGTTAAGGCAGAGTGAGTATACAAAAACCACAGACGGGGTCAAGGCAGAGTGAGTATACAAAACACACAGACGGGGTCAAGGCAGAGTGAGGATACAAAACACACAGACGGGGTCAAGTCTAGTGAGTATACAAAAAGCACAGACGGGGTTAAGGCAGAGTGAGTATACAAAACCCACAGACGGGGTCAAGGCAGAGTGAGGATACAAAACACACAGACGGGGTCAAGGCTGAGTGAGTATACAAAACACACAGACGGGGTCAAGGCTAAGGGAGTATACAAAAAACACAGACGGGGTCAAGGCTGAGTGAGTATACAAAACACACAGACGGGTTCAAGGCTGAGTGAGTATACAAAACACACAGACGGGGTCAAGGCTGAGTGAGGATACAAAACACACAGACGGGGTCAAGGCTGAGTTAGTATACAAAACACACAGACGGGGTCAAGGCTAAGTGAGTATACAAAAAACACAGACGGGGTCAAGGCTGAGTGAGAATACAAAACACACAGACGGGGTCAAGGCTGAGAGAGTATACAAAGCACACAGACGGGGTCAAGGCTGAGTGAGTATACAAAAAACACAGACGGGGTCAAGGCTGAGTGAGTATACAAAACACACAGACGGGGTCAAGGCTAGTGAGTATACAAAAAGCACAGACGGGGTCAAGGCTGAGTGAGTATACAAAAACCACAGACGGGGTCAAGGCAGAGTGAGTATACAAAACATACAGACGGGTTCAAGGCTGAGTGAGTATACAAAACGCACAGACGGGGTCAAGGCTGAGTGACTATACAAAGCACACAGACGGTGTCAAGGCTGAGTGAGTATACAAAACACTAAGACGGGGTCAAGGCTGAGTGAGTTTACAAAACACTCAGACGGGGTCAAGGCTGAGTGAGTATACAAAACACACAGACGGGGTCAAGGCTGAGTGAGTATACAAAGCACACAGACGGGGTCAGGGCGGAGTGAGTATATAAAAAGCACAGACGGGGTCAAGGCAGAAATGAGTTTACAGAACACACAGACGGGGTCAAGGCTAAGTGAGTGTACAAAACACACAGACGGGGTCAAGGCTGAGTGAGTATACAAAACACACAGACGGGGTCAAGGCTGAGTGTTTTGTATACAAAACACACAGACGGGGTCAGGGCGGAGTGAGTATATAAAAAGCACAGACGGGGTCAAGGCAGAATGAGTTTACAGAACACACAGACGGGGTCAATGCAGAGTGAGTATACAAAACACACAGACGGGGTCAGGACAGAGTGAGTATACAGAACACACAGACGGGGCCAAGGCAGTGTGGGTATACAAAAATCAAAGAGGTCTAGGATTGGGTGAGTAAATGTATATAAACAGAGACCGGTCTTACAGAAGGACTTAAAAAGAGTGACACATGGAATATGATTTTTGTTACTGTAAAAGTTCTTATTTTAGCAGACTCAAATTTTAGCGTATTACTTGATTTTATCAGATCAGCGTATTGCTTAATTGTCGCACTCACAATATATATACAATAATAAATTATATAAAAAGCGCTGAAATTAGAATGCCGCTGAATATGTACGTTATCAGTATGTGACTCACACATGGGACTGGAACAAACGAGAATAGCTGACTTCTTTTATGTATACAAACTGTTGATAGGTTTCTAAAACGATGAGAAATACAAATGAAATCTACAATGCATATTTATATAAAACAAGTTTCAATATTGCAAGACATCCAAAGATAAATGGAATATAAAAAGGCACGGCATCACTCGACCCCGAAAGGGGAGGTAACCCTAAGCTAGAAAGCTCCTTTTTAGATGCTCCATCTTCTATATTGAACGAACATTTCTCGCGACCACAACTGATGCAGTGTTACGCGTTACCTTAACATTATAGCAGGTACCACATGTTTACGGATATTAACTTTGAATGAATTGATAACATTAGTTATAAAACATGACAAAACTACTTTCTCGCATTGAATATCGCTTACTGGGTGCAAAATATACAAACTTAAATCGAGACGCTCGCTAACCCACATCATGCCTAACGCATTGTGGTACTGATTGTAGCAATGTGTATATCATGTTTTATATTCTTTAATTTTTAATGTTTCTCCCTTTTTCACATGATTGTGTCCGTGCTCTCTTTCGGTCAAAATAATCTGAAGGGCATTTATTAGTTAACATATCTGTACTTTAATTTCTCAAAACATCTCGGGTTAACAATCTACCTAAAACTATTCAATATGATCATACTCAATAGCTGCAATATCACGCATATATCTTTGGTTGGTATCGCAGATGGCACGAGCTTCTGGTACGCGCATTCATGGATGCATACATTCGCGCAATACACGAACAATATCTGTTCCGACATATATTGTCATGTGTAGTAATGCATATAAATTTGATACGTAACAACATGAACATTTGTTCCTGATAAACATACAATATTTTTTGCGATTTTCCCCCTTCAGATTATCACAGATTATTGTCCGACTGCTGCCTGAAACAAACAACAATTCCGGACAAAACGAGAAAGGACAGAAGTATCCCTTAACATAGCAGCGTAAATAAGCCTTGCATTAAATGGGTCGCATTTTTTTTATATTGATACATTATGAGCAGGGGGTACCAACAGATGAATTCCGGCTAAAATATTTCCGGTCCTAATCAGAGGAATCATGCATGCCTCCTACCAATAAGATGAAATAAGAATGTTATAATTATGTGTTCTCGTTTACCACAGAGGCCTTGTCGATCGGAGTACCGGGAGAGGTCATGGGTTACTGGGAGGCGCACAGGAGGTATGGACGACTCCCATGGAAGGACCTATTTCGCCCTGCTATAGACTTAGCCGAGAATGGACATTACCTGGCATATACACCGAGATTATGTTTTGAACATTTACTTCGTGAGAACGTTGATTTGTCTCAGGACAAGGAATTTTGGTACATATTTTTTGTTAATTGTTAATTTATTTATCAACTTCCTGAATATCTTTTAACTATTTAGCTATTTATGGTATTATTGACATGTTTGTATTGCATTAAAACGGGTATATAGCGACTTGTACAATATAAAACTTTCCCATTGTACATGTTCACGCATTTTTTGATACGATTTAAAATCTCATCTCGTCATGTTGTAAACTAACCAGCGTTACTTGTTTTCTTACCGTGGTATAGGACGGTTCTGGTTTCAGACCAGGGTTTTTATTACCCTGCCTCCACAACCTTAAAGGTTACCTCTTTCATTAATCGACTTGGCAGCACTAGATAACTTATTATGCAGTTGTGGTCCAAATACATATAGGATGGACTAAAACTTAATCAGAAACTACATTACAAATTCTTACACCGGGAATGATTTTTCACAGTTAATTATAGAAAGTTTTAAGCGTCTTTAATATTTTAAAACAAAAACACATAACGATCGATAAAATCCAAAAACGAGAAACATCAACAAAATGAGAGTTATAAGTAAATTTGAAATTGTTAAGTGGGAACGCCGGTACTACAAAATCCTTCAGAGCGTGTATTTGATAGAAAGTAACACGTGAAGTTATCAATGTTTCCTTTTAATTATTTCTCAAATGTATTTAGAACCTAAAAATTAAGAAATTATTCTCGTCCAGTTACTTGTTAACTTACATTTCTGTTATGCGTTGTTCAAATCTTATTTTATGCAAAATTTAAGAATCAGTAACTGTTAAAATTAAGGTACCGTAACCAGAATAATTAAGGATTTGTTCTAAAGTGTATCATCAATCAATACTCTAAATTATTCAACTGTTATATTTAATGTTATAGTATTTAATATTTCTTTGTCTTAGTAAAGTCTATTGTGATGACACCGGTAAGATAGCACCAGAGGGAGCCTTAATCAAACGGCCCCGCCTGGCGCAAACCCTGAAAGGGATAGCTGACAACGGACCGGCTTACATACATGAAGGCCCGGTAGCGGATGTCATTGCTCGTGAAATACAGTCAAAAGGTAGCGTATCGATCGATCAGAATATATATACCTAAAGCTGGAACTACATGTGAATAATCAGAAACGAGCAGTTTAAAACACAATCTGTATATCTTGATGCAAAACATTATTGTGTGACGTCATAATTAAAAGATTGATCAAATGAATCACTTTCAGGGTGTTGCAAACAAAGGGAGTACCTGAAAATGCTTACCAACTCCTAGCAAGTTTATACAATGCGGAAGGTTTAGACCCCTCAAGCTTTAAACGATGTGGAAATTCGTGATACCAATACGGCTATAAACACCATTCATAGGAATTAAAGATATATACAATGTGTATAAATAAATAGACAAAAATAAATAACTTAACTATACAACACATACTCCAAGTGAGTCCTAGATATTTAAAATGTTCTGTGTGTGTGTGCAGGCGGTGTAATTACCAAGAAAGACCTTGCAGAATATGCCCCTGTTGTGGATGAAGGCATTTCTATAGATCTCGGTGACGTCAAATTACTTACAATGGGCGCACCCAGTGGAGGACCCATTCTCGGTTTGATTCTCAACATACTGCAAGGTATAACTTATCCATAAATATTTTTCGTAAATATTTATTTGACACTTACTACAAAGCGGTTTCCTATATTCATATTTTACATGAAAAAGGCAAAAGAACAAGTGGAAGTATATGCGTTAATATGTATTTCCAGTGGAAATTGTGAAGAGCCAATATACGATAATGATAACAACTGCACACTGTACATGTAGTTACATATATGATACTGTATAGATGCTATCCAGCTTTACTTGAAAAAGAACTTAAAAGAGCGAAATTGAAGTATATCACGAAGCAAATAAAAGCAATGCGACGTAACGTGAAATTTTCAAAAAAATATAAACATGGTTGGGAGTGGTGAAACCTTTTTATGAAAAAATACCATTTTCCTTGCTGACAGTATAAAGAAGATTAAAAAGTCATCCTACAAAAGCAAAAGATGATTCTGACACCCCCCGATACGACTTTATTTTTGAAGGATCACTGACAATCTTAGACAAGCAGTTTTGTGTGTTTCAGAAACAAAACAATAACTTACTTTTATTATATCCTGTATTACAAATGTTTTTATAGCAACTGATATTTGTTATGTTTACAAAACTTAACCTTGCATTACGGAAATAGGAATATTTATGTGAGCAAGTTTAGTTATGGGAAACAAATACTAGAATGTATTAAAATGTATTGTATATTATTCCATATTACGTTCACTATGAATAAAAAATACTACTTTGCATTATTCATGTAAAGTTTTCCCCCTGTATTTTCCAATTATTCATAGTTTACCTATTGGGGTGAGTGGTTTCATATTGCAAGCTAAGATGAAACTTCAATGGGGAGTTGTTAAAATTAAATATTAAAAAGCGATATCTCAAAAACAGATTTCAGTAGTATTGGCTTCAAATTAAAATGTCTTTCTAAACATCTTTTCATGTTGGTAAGTACGAATTGTAGAAAGTTTATGTATCACAAACTTAGTATCAACGTGTGACGTTTTGATGACCATTACGACGACAACTATATTATCATCTTCATCAGATAAATGACCAGTGACGTGTATGTAAATATCCTTTCCTCAATTTAAAAGTCTTATTTTATCTCCTTTTAAATTGTAGGTTTAAAATTATCAGCTGAATCATTATCTTCAACTGAACAATACACAAAAACATTACATATAGTAATAGAGGCTGTCAAATTAGCCTTTGGGGAACGATGGCAGTTAGGAGACCCAGCTTTTGTACCGAAAATGAAAGAGGTGAGTAAACATTTTGTCAAGTAATGTACCCATCTCCTGCATTCTCGGGGGCATTGCAAAAATACTGACGGTTGTCGTTACCCTTGTATGGTCATATGACACTTGAAATCCTCTCGCAATCATTAGAATTTTAGCACATGGCCTTCTCGGTTGTTAGAAATTAAACTCTGAAAACAAATTAATGCACGAATATAGTTCGTGTGAACTAGACTTGATAGCCTGTTGAATGTTCAACACTTATAACTTTACCTTTTCGCCCTGGATCGATAATATATATTCAACAACACGTGAAACGATAATTTACTAAACAAAATAAATTGCAGAGAAACGAATCCGAGTTTAATGTTTGATGAAAGTATCTATCTCAAAAAGGATGAAAAGAATCACCAGCCCCATTAGACGACATTGAATTCTGATTGCCGGACCTCTATTGCTTTTTATTCTATACATACATGTTTTTAAATAATTGCTTTATGTTTCATGAGTGCAAATGTTGAACCCATTTGATCGACTTTGTTGTATGTCTCGTCGCTCATTACTCGATTTTAATTGTGTTAAAAACGTCCAGCGTTGGGGTCACGTGTTATATTTATGACGTAGTTCGTTAAGAGAAACGTTTGTCCGATGCTGGGATAGGCTTTCTATTTAAAATATCATAGATTATTTCCTTAAACAGGTACAGTGTAATTATAATTAATAGTTTACGCTTGAACTAATCTGAGAAACATCAGCATAGTTGTTGCTTGTCGCTTTTTTTTTATAAAAACATTTTTCATGTGAATTAGGTTGTCGATAAAATGACGTCTGAAGCGTTTGCTGATGAACTGAGAAGCAAGCTAGACCAACACGAAACTCATGAATCGTCCTATTATACAAACACATCATTCCAAGCGTATGACCATGGTACTGCGCATGTGTCTGTGCTAGCGCCGGACGGAAGTGCTGTAGCTGTCACGAGCAGCATTGATTATTTGTAAGTGAAGTATTAGTGCATGTTCATCTCACGTTTCAACATTCAATTAGTTAAATTCTTAATATCTTACTTTTTGTGCTAAACCATTAGGAAACAGGTTGTGGCTTTTTTTTTCGCAATACTGATGTCCAAACATTTGTTGCTATTACAAGAAATTTTATGAAGACGTCATTTTGGTGGCGTTTCATAAAAACACAATGTTGGCTTATTTCAAAATGACAAATCACCATTCCGATGCTATTGGGAGATTCAAATACAGTTCCGCAGAAAATGACTTTTAGAACGAGGTTTGTATCTTCGAAAATTATGATCATATTAATCATAATATTACAAACAAATAACTCAAAATGGCAGCCTGTGAAATGCGCTTTGGAAGACTTTTTTACCATAATGAGTGAATTTTATTTTCATTTTTACTTACACATATTTGTTTATAATAACAAGGCTTCTCTGATTTCTACCTTTTGTTTGATTTTCAGTTATGGGTCGACAATCATGTCTGAATCTACTGGAATCATTTGGAACAACGAAATGACAGATTTCTCAAAGGTACAATTATTAAAGGAAATGAGTGAAACGCTATAAATATGTATGCATATATAATGCTTATAATTATTACATATTTTGTTAAAACATATTATCCCGTCAACTGCTTGCATTGTAAATCTTTAAACGGAACAACCATGTTCCTACGAATATCACTGACATTTTGTTACACTTTTACAACACATGCATATACCCAGTTAACGTTGTTAAAATACTTGTTAGGTTTACAAGTTAACATTTGCTTAGAGCTTATAGTATTTGATTTTTTCATTTCATTTTTTTTCAAGAAATAGTTACTGACATCACAAAACGTTTGATACATTCTACTTTAAACATCTCTCTTCTCATTGAGCACCTCACAAAAACATAATTTGTAAATCGCCTCCTGAAAATAAACTCCAATAAACAAAGAATATTCTTAATTAACAAAACACTTAATACATGTTTCCCTTGGTAATCTTTCCTCTCCTGTCAGGATAACCCACGGAACCAGGTCCAACCGGGGAAACGCCCACTCTCCTCCATGGTACCATCAATATTTGTGGACAAGTCAGGTCTCGTGAGACTCGTCATAGGAGGAGCTGGTGGTATGTCGATTACACCAGTTGTAGCCGAGGTAAATATATCTTTTTATGTCGTCCCCCCTCGGTATGACACATGCGTGGTCATTTTGACTTTTTTTCTTTTACGTAAATTTAACGACAGAGTCACCGAGATAAATTCTTAAATGATTACAACAAATATGCAATTCTTCTGTGTCCAATCATTTCAAACATGTTGGAGTTTAAGAAATTAATACAGAAAAGCACTGTAGTCGGCAGTTGCCATTGTGACGATTAATTTAAAGGACAATGTAATTCCCAAACAGAATATTGACCTGCTATTCTAAAAATAGTAACATCGAATCAATTTACTAAAAACTTTACTTTACTTTAGCTTTAAAGCTGACTTTACCTTACAAATGTCCACGTCCAATAACAGTTCATGAATTGCGGACAACCCTATTTCATATATCTGTATTAACTTTACTGTCAAAACCTTTTATACTAATAGAAACCGTGATATTTTCGCCCTCAATATTTCATTTAACTTCATAAACTTGCTTGTTGTAAAGTTCATTGAAATAGAAGATTCAATTATTTGAAAAAACTGTGTGTTTCAGTAATGGTATACATATTATCTGAAGTGATCATATTGAATCTCAAGACAATTATTTTTTTCCAGAATCAGTAAATATGCAAATATAGCAGATTTAAATATTTCCTTAATTTGTCATCAAGCTTTTACAGTTTGATACATAGAGTGAGTTATGGTTGGTTACCATGTTTAACTAACTCGAGTGAGCTTATTTTCTAATTGTGCAAAGACAGAAGGTTTACTGGGTGTCGTTTTCAATTTTAAAATAAAATAAATTTAAATTTAATTTCAATAATAGTAAAATAAACTTGATATTCAACCACCGTTTGGGGTCATTTTCTCCCCATAGCGTTCATATTGTATGACTTTGTCTTTGCCTTTTGTAATGCATAGGTACGTTTCCAATACCGTCTATAACGATACATGTACAAAGTATTAAACATCAGTATTGAATCTGGCTCCGGAATCTCGAAACTTCTTAAACCCATTCTAAGTGCTTAACTTTAAGCATATAATTAAACAAATGTATCTCAAAGGTTCTTAACCCATTCTCAATTCTTAACTTTAAGCATATTCTCAAAAAAGTGTATCTCAAAGATTCTTAAGTCTCCATTATTAAATTTTAAGTTGAGAACAGGTTAAATAATTGAGAATGGTAAGGAGCATGCTTACATATTTAAGAACGTGCTTAAATACACAAAATTAATAACTATAATTGTATGATCATTCATGAATTCCAACCGCTAAAAGCGAGTGAGGAGACAAAAGTCTTTGTGTTTATATTTATTTTTTATTTATTTATTCATAATTAGCTAACACATCGGATATAATTACAGAACCAGTATTTGGGGTCATATTCAATACAGTCTTATATCATCGGATATCCATAAAACCAGACGTCGGCAAACAACTAATGTGGACGATTTGGTTATGGGGAAAAGAAAATTTTATCCGAGGATTCAGAATTTGGGGTAGGTTCTGACCCCACCCGAGTGTAAAATGTTTATATCCCGAATATTCACATAATGAATCCGTCTTAATACATCAACAATCTCGTTACAACCTGTTAATATCGTTACACACATTAAATATCGCATTTAAAACTAGGTCAGTGCTTTGTTAATGAGATAAGTACTGTGTTTTAAGGAGATACCCAACTTGCTGTCGCTTTAAAATGAGATACCCAATGCGTTGACTCTAAGGGTTGTCAATGATTAACTGGTTACTGGTTCCACAGGGGTTCGTTACAAATGTCTGAAATACACAGTTTCTATACTGATATGGGTCATAGCACACATAAACCTGTTACCAAAATCAATAACCGAATATTGGGATATTTATGTACCCCATATTATGCTCCATGTTAAACTGACTTATGCCTGCAAATCTTCTATCGATGAGGCCAAAATTGAATTTGTTGGCATTAAAAACAACGCTCAGACTGACCTGTTCAAGGGTGTTATTTTTGTATTGTATTTGATTTTAAAGATTGACAAAGAGAATCCACACTATAACAAGCATGAACAGATTTTAAAAGGGAGACGGAATGAAAAGTTGTGAAATGCCAAGAAGGACTTGTTTTTAAGGATTTGACGTAAACTAATTTCAGAAAGTGCTCAATTGAATGATATCAGTGAAACGTAAACAAAATCGAGTAGAAATAACTTGTATCCCACTTTATGATGACCGATGCATACATTGTCAATTCAATATAATAACACATTTCCTGCGTTTAGGCGTTGAGAGCTTGATATACAAGAATCAGGTATCATGAAAATTAATGTATATGAAGTGTTAATTAATTCCGAATGGAAAAATTGCTAATCATATAATGTAGTTATTGTTGTTAATTGTTTGATCACCGAACTGACCGATTAACCGGTTATTCGGTGGGAAGATTTTTTCGAGTAACCAGTTAGTAAATTTGTCCGGTTTGGCCGCCCTAGTTTTAACATTATAGAAAACACGTAAAAATAAGCTTTTTACTTCTTCAAATTTAACCCAATAGGCTCCTGTACCAGAAATTTTGATTTAAAGTGTGGAACGGTTTGTGTGGTGTTCCGTGCGTACATATTTATAACCCTTCTTTTCATCGTTCAATTGAATTCATATCTGAACATATGAAGTTGTACCTTTGTATATAAATGTTTCCAGTCATGGTTCTAATGAATCGTCATAAATAACAAATTAATTTAATCAGTTTAGGATAATTATTCAATATTTTCTTTTAATATCTAGCATTCAATGGTATGTCTGTCATAACAACAAAAATGGTGTCATCTGTTTTTTAATATCCAATATTTAGCTTGAAAAGTTAAACATGATTTTCAATGCATGTATGCACTACAAAAGAAGTGCGGGATTATCTATCCTAGTTAATTCCTACACTGATATTACTTTTTTTCATTAAAGAGTTCCAAATATGGCCCCTTATGTATCAACAAACACATTCTTAGTTAAGTAAGTTCTTAAATATACACCAACTTGAGAAATTCTCAGCTAAGTACGTACTTAGCTTAAGAATGGAAAGTTAAGAATTGAGAATTAAGAAGTTTCGAGATTCCAGGGCCAGATGTTGATTATCAACATTTTAGGATTTTTGCTTTGTTACATGAATGTTGTTATAGCAACCATAATATACAACGTCCCTACAAAATGGCTTAATGTTTTGTTAATTCCTTATTGGTATTCGTGTCAAACCAACCTTCTGTCCTCTTGTATTATTGACTAAATAACACTTCATCTGTTGAGGGAATCTCTGTTGTCAGATATACCGATTAAAGGATCCATATACCGACGCCAACAGCTGTAAATGTGAATTGAACACATTTTTTTCTGAACTTGTGGAATTTTGATTTAAAACATCAATAAATATCGCAAAAATGAAAAAATGAAAAAATGATACAACGGCACTCGAACCCTTGACGTTCCGATCGTTACACTCTCGTTTTTACCATCTGAGCTATATAGTCAACGGTATAAACCTTGCCCAGTTGCGTAACGGTTTTGTCCAAACTGAAATAAAGGTGAAGTTACTATACAAAATACAAAAAATGGGTTTCTCTGGCTAGTATTTAGCCGACTCTGGGACAGGGATACTTATTCATTGCCACCATAAACCTAGTTAAAAAAGGTATTTTTCGCACCTAAAACAGGAATATCCCCCATAATACCCAGTGCTAGATTTTTCACGACTGATCTGTCTGGCACTTTTATACGACGATTCGCGGAATTTTTACACAGCAATATATTAATCTGTGCACTAACGCAAATGATGCAGTCGAGCATTGTTTTTGTTCTTTTTCGTCGTTATATGTTTTAGTTTCCTACTGTTAAAAATAAAATATAATCTACACTATGAAATGCGTTTTCTTTTGTGTAAGGACAAACTGTACTGTGTACGCTGAATCATTCAAAGGTAGCTTTTGTAGTTAAGCGGCAACATTGATTTGCAGCCCCGGACGGGATACTTGTAGACTATCGCGTAATTGAAAAGATTTTTCGAACTAAAAGGTGCGAGAAAAAAGTATATTACCTGTTACTGAGCGAGATCGGGTTATACAGTTTCGGCCTAAGCTTCTGTGATAAAAGCTTAGCCCGAGATTGAAATAACCCGATCTCGCTCAGTAAGGTAGATTTTATTTTTGTTTTTCCGAACAAGAGCAAGAATGAACTTGTGAATTTTTTGGGACTTCATCACTTTGGCTTTCAGAATAGCTTTGGAAATTTTATTATTAAAAACACGCATGCCCAGTCACGCAAACTGATATTTCTTGTGTTCAATTCGGTTAATTGAAAACTATTTATGTTTTCTGTTCAACAGGTTTCTGCACATGTACTGTTTTTGGGTGACACTCTTGGAAAAGCCATGCGACGTAAACGATTCTATCATCAGCTTGAAAAAAACGTTTTGGTGTATGAGAAAGGATTTCCACAGGTAAAGAACTATGTTTACTGATAGTGCCGATGTAGAATCACCATAACTACCAGACCATGTCCAATGTCCAGCCATACTTGAATTTAAACTACTACAACTCATTTTCATGGAAGTTCGTCTTTGTTGATCCTTCTGATGGTATGGAACTCAAATTGGTTCCATTTTAATTGTCGCAATAATAGCTTACAAGAGTTGCTGTTTCCATTTCATATGTATGCAACTTCAAATTAAGCTTCATGTATATTGTATTTAGTTCTAAATGTGGCTAAAGTTGTGCATCCTTAATTAAATAATATATCAATTCTAACATATTTAAAATGACAGAATAAAAGTACATGTTGGTATTACTATCAGTTCTGGGATCCGTTACAATAACAATTCATTTATTGTGTAGTCCAATATACATTGTAATTCGACTAACACATCTAGAATTGACATTTCATGACTTCTCAATGTTAAACGCAACACAGTTTCCCTTTCCTCTCCACCAAATATGCATTATCTGTTTGTTTTTATTTATTTAAATTGCAATGGATAATTTTCATATGAGTATATTTAAATTGTACAAAAAAGGTTTAAATGGAATTTCTGAAGCTTTGTGTCATTCATAATATACACGAGTTAATTTGATTTGTTAGGAAATGTCTACATGTACTTGCTGAAAAGCGTTTCGTTTTTCATGTTTTAAATAACATTTCTCAATAATAAGATAGCATTTTCGCGTCTGTTCTGTAAATGTTATAACCATACTATATCTTTCAGAGGTATTCCTCTGATGCTGAAATAAAACATCGCTTCATATTTAAACAATGTTTTAACACTAATATCCTGTTATCAACTTTGCTAAAGACATTATGTTATTAACATCATGGAGATATTTTGTTTTGTAATAAGTACTTTAATTGTTGTTGTGCAGGACATCCTTCAGTCTCTATCTACGGAGTTTGGACACGAGGTAGCACAATATCCAGGATACATGGCTGTTTTGCAAGCAATCGAACGACATCCTGTCACAGGGGAAATAACCGGATTCCCAGACGAACGAAAAATTTATTTCTAGATCTATTTATGTTTTTTATGTATAATGACACACATATTAAACATATCTCTCGTTCCGTTTATGTTCTCTGAAAATAATATTTGCGAAATATTTATAATTGTGAATGAATCTTCTGACTAATTCACGCGAAAATGCATTGCTCACAAAAATAAAGTGATTTATATTACAGTAGTATGAATATGGCACTATGATAACTGCTAGAAGCATATTATCACATGTACCTTCATCGCCGTTCCAAAGAGATTTGTCCTGAAATTGTATAAGATGTTGTTTATAAAAGATATTACATGTAACTCATTTGAAAAATGAAGAAGAATAAACTCATGGCATTATGAAATAGTATATTATACTTATTAAGTATTGGCATAACTGGTAAATCTAACATTCTCACAAGTACATGTATAATGGCATCTACCTACATTGTGATGATAATAGTCACCGCGGTTACTTTACAACGACAACCTATAGCACATACCGACATTTTATCAATCATTGCCACTTCACAACCGAACATTGCATATTATAGGATTTTGTAGCAAGGCAATAATAGTCACCAGACCACCAAACTCCACCGACGACAACTTTACAAAAGATGCATGAATACATTTATTTAACTTATTAAAAAACTATGAAGGTTATTTATGCCTTGAAAAACTGTTCTAAATCAAATGTCAATTTTGAAGACCAGATTGGTTACAATAAGAGAAATAGTCAGCATACGTACAAACTATAACAAAAGATATACATAAGTGTCACCATAGATTCAAATATATCATAAGATATACAAAAGTGTCACCATAGATACAAACTATAACAAAAGATATAACTAAGTGTCACCATAGATTCAAATATATCATAAGATATACAAAAGTGTCACCATAGATACAAAATATATCATAAGATATACATAACTGTCACCATAGATACAAAATAAATCATAAGGTATACAAAAGTGTCACCATAGATTCAAATATATCATAAGATATACAAAGTGTCACCATAGATACAAAATGAATCATAAGATATACATGTACGTAAGTGTCAACAGAGATACAAAATGTATCATTGGATATACGTATGTGTCACCATAGATACAAAATGTATCATAGGATATACGTATGTATCACCATAGATACAAAATGTATCATAGGATATACATTATACAAAATTCTTATCGTAGGTACAAACTATAGAACACAACATATATAATACATTTATCTTACTTATTGAAAACTATGAAGGTTATTTATGCTGACGGGGGTCAGAACAGGTGTTTGTGAGCGGCGAAACAAAATGTGAATAGGGTAACACTACTGAGATAGCTCTGCTTCGCATCGCCAGGAAATCACAAGTTACGACAATATAATCATCAAATAAAGTCACAGATGACTAAATCTCACAATAGCACTGCAGAATGGTTATTTAACTTTACAATCCTGACATACATTATAATACTAACATACCATACTGACAATACCTTACTTGCATACAGTGATATAACAATAATCACCTAACATGGAAAGTAATAACCAGGTTATACATCAATAACATATCATACTGACACCCCAAGTGTTCTTACAGAACAATAACGTTAATGTCATACATGCATAGTATTCACTTATGTAATTTTTTCAATGCTGAACTGTTCAGCATCTCAGATCGGATGGGATTGGTCAGCAGCATCAGACGTTTTAGAATAGAAAACAAAAAGAAAAGAAAATGTACATCAGTCCTTAAAATAAACAATTATAGACTAGCAAAATAGAAATTATTCTGCTTGAAGTTTTTCCATCTTTTTTCTTCATCAAAACATCATTACTTGACGATAAACTGGCCGTCTTGTTGGGTGAAAATGACTTGGATATCCTAGCGGAAGTGACGTTCATTGTATCCCCTTGCGGCGCTTGATGACGTAAGAGTGCGTATCAGTGGAGCTAGGATAGATGTTGCCATGTGCGTTACTAGGGATGGTGGGGCGCGATCGGCAGACGATTGGGGAGGGGGGCTTATTTGGGGTCTTTCGGTCCTCGGGCTCATTAAACGTCATCGGATTGTTGTAAAACTCCATTTTTAGTGTACCATTATTCGCCAGGAGGAAGTGGGGAACTTTTCTCCCCATTTCTGTAACCTGAATAGAAAGTAATATCATGGTTATCTAATGGGAATTTATACACACAACCAAAACAATATTCCTCTAAACAATGTTATGGTTTTTACTTTTAAAGTCGAAATTTTTGGGCGAAATAAAGTTCGCGTTTTGCCTCTTCAAGCTTTTTTTCGAATGGTCATTTTTTGCGCCGGCAATAGTACGCCACAACATATTTAATAGTGTGTTGACATGTCCTCGCAAGCATAATCTTAGCTTGATTAAGTTACAGTTAATCAATGTTATTTTCGTGAACTGAATTCTAGTTGTACCTTTTTTTTCAAAAACAGGAATACGCCATTGAGAGGAAGCTATTTTAATATATATATAGTAACAAATAATCGCTGGAAAAGTATTTGCGAAAGAGTCACATGACAAATTTCCCGCGAAAATTTAAAAATATTCAGTAATGTGAATTCCATTGTACAATACAGAATAATGCGATCTATCATGGTGATATTTTTAACATGTGCGAAATTCGGTAAATTGTTCATTTAATGGGTTGAAATATGAAAGGTGTTTATCTAGAAAAGACAACATATTAATTACATTTCCATTGGATAAATCTTTGTCAGTTTTATTTATGAAGTCACAAAGACCACAGGGATTGTTCTAGGTGTAATATTTAACGATCAATATTACTCTGTGATAGGCCAGTTTACTTACACCTCAAAATAATATAAACAGGTCTTTTTAATACAAAATCTTTCCATTACGCCACTACATTGTTATGCAGTGTGTAATAAATCAGAATCTAGACGTGCCGCCATAACTGCCTGTGTCCTTCAAACGGAAGTTATCGCTGAATACAATGTAACTACGCTATCGCTATTTCTGAAAATATCTTCCTCAATAATAACGTTATCCCTATTCCTGTAAACATCCTCCTCAATAATAATGTTTTCCCTATTCCTGTAAATATCTTCCTCAATAATAATGTTATCCCTATTCCTGTAAATATCTTCCTCAATAATAACAGTATCACATTTCCGGTAACATCTTCCTCAATTATAACGCCGTCATCATCCCTGCAAATGTCTTCCTCAATCATTACATTATCGATATAATTGCCAATATATTCCTTGGCACTACATTAAAAATATTGTAGGCATTATCTACGATAATACTATGGAGAGTTTTTGCATCGGCTATAATAAGTAGTATATATACACCGTTTATATAACCCTCTAAATAATTTACAAATTGAGATGAGGTGTTTTACAGTGCATGTACAATAATCGTTCTAATGTTACAAAATCTTACTTAAACATAATGTACCTTTATAAAGCATGTACATTTACATTGTTCCTGAACCATTAGCATGCACGCGGGAACATCGGACGGCATTGCAGTATAAAACAATAGAATTTCCATCATCCCAACATCTTGTTAGCACAATTTTGGTACAATGACAATGTATAATTTTAGTCAAGGCTAATATACCATAACAGTCGAGGTTTGTTGCATCGACTTTCACTAATTGTGACGTCATTCAATTATTTTCATCGAGACGTCAGAATTTCGACGATTGCTATAGACACATGTCTTTGGTTGAAAGAATATATCACTCTTGCGTTATGTAGACAGAAATCTCAACCGAATTGCAAGATTTTGAACTTTACCACAAGGCTTTCATTCAATCGGTTTAATTGTGACATCTTAAATGTCAATAATAAGAGACCATAAAACCTAGAACGTTTTCACATTGCTCCTCTCGTGTGTGTACATTTTTGCCTTTGAGTTTAAAGGCGATTATTGAATTATCCGACAAGAGTCTGAAGAGTATAAATAATAGTATTACTGTTGTTAGGTGTAGATACTATACTTACATAATCAGTCAGGGATGAGGGCATAGTTCACATCCTGAACTACAGATGATTAAATACTATTCTAATATTGATGTCAACATTAAACCTTTCTTTTTCATTGTCAATATTAAAAGCAAGTCACTGTTTTATAGAACGAACATTATTTATGCATGTGCACGTTTCCACTTTAATTATCGATTCAAACTCTAGGCGTCATATCTAATTTTGGCCACACGAGATTTACCTGAATAACAGGGCATTCTCACTAGTAAGCTTTGCCCTGACCCTTATCCGTCTCGCTGCGCTTGGTTACATGCCTTTTACAAGTCTGCCCTTCCAAATATCTACTGTATAGAGGAATATATACCGGTGGTTTGGCCAAACGTTTCTTGAGAACAGCTTTCTTGCAGTTTATAGCTATTCGGATAGCATCGGACGATTTATCTGGGGTTGGCGACAGCCTGGGGCTTGAACTTCGAGTGGGAGACAAGTCGACAGGAGTATTACATTTGCTACTGTCTGCCATGGAACACATAAACATGGGTACAGTGATCGGGATACACGATCTGGGAACGTTCATACGTAGCACACTGGAGCCAGACCTGGGGTTCTGGATCACCTCCAGTTTCCGATAGGTGTAGTCCTCCCTGAAACAATAAAACATATAGTGCGTGTTTTGAGAAGAGATACGGAAACAGTCTAGCGAGCTTCGTTAAAATCAGACCCCACTATACAGTGCATAGCTTAGAATACACCACCACACTCAGAATACAACTCCACGCTAATAAACAAATCCACACTTAAAATACACGTACTAATCAACTTTTGAGATACAACTATACACTCAAAATGATGTAAAATAGTCCCAATTACCTATATTTCTTGGTGTGATCTTTTGGATACATAAAGTGTTCAAATTCATAAGAAATGGCATCGGCAGAGTTGGTATTACTGGGGACGTAAGGACATGGAACCGGGATGCTGTGGTTTGAGCTCTCTTCCTCAGTCCTATCGGTGAGGTCACCGTGAAATCTTCCACCTGTGGACTGGGAACGTGTGGGATGATCAGCATGCCACCTGCTTTGTCCAACGTCCCGATTTTCGGACACGTCTTTGGCAGTTCTGAGCACTGTAGACTGAGCACGAGTGGGGCCCGAGATCTGGACCTTGCTCATGGATACCTTCTCGCGTTTAACGCCAAACTTAACGCATGCCGACTGGCTTCTGTTTCGCATCATGTCGCGTGTTTCAGCGGAAGTGAACTGGAGGTACCCGGAGCTATCGGCAGAATGAGGTCTCGAACAAACGTCCCATCCACGGAACTCCTTCAACAAATTAACAAAAAATAAAAAGTATGTAACAGATGAGCATACTTCAAATTACTTATGTTTTGAGAGATATAATTCCGCGTTAAAACCAAAGAATTCAAAGAATTGTATATATATATAATATATCACATACCTGTTGAATCTTGTTACAGTTATACAAGCAATTTTCAGACCATGAAATACAGAATGTACAACGTTCTGTATTGCACCTGTGCAATACGGAATGTTGTATTTACCTACTAGCCGGAACTACTTTTTATGGGAACCCTCTTGTCATGGCGAACTGAAAAGTTCCCGGTATTTGCAAAAAATATCAAAGTTTATAAATTATAAAATCTTTGTATCGATCTCTAACAAATACGGAAGGTATGTGATAAAAGCAAGACCACACACTTGTGTTTTTCTAACGAATCAGAAAGCACGAGTTTATTGCGCGGACGTAAATATTGGTCCGCGCAATAAACTCGTGCTTTCTGATTCGTTAGAAAAACACAAATGTGTGGTCTTGCATATATATATTACTTTCGCTACTTACGCGAAATCAAATTGCCATAGAAAAAATATTTAAAGCAAAATCGTGAATGTAAAATGAATCACAACATTTGGTAACTAATTTCCTATACACAAACTATACTTTTCATGACTTGTGGCCGTATGGCAAGCGACAGCTTTTGGGACCAGTTTAATGAAGCCAAAATCACGACTAACAGTGGGATAAGGTACGGTGGACTGTTGTTTACCTTTTTGACAACAATTTTCTCTGGGCCTGAGGTGTGCGCGGCGCTTAGAGACTGTATTATGTGTGCCTGACCGCGGTGAGGCGGTGGGCTGTCAAACTTGTACTTGTTGGCGCTGTGAAGGGAAACGCACGATCCTTGTGTGTGAGGTCGCACTGTGGTTGCCAAGGTGTTGCTCTCTTCCTTCATCTTCTTAGTTAATACCTTATCATGTTTATCCCCGTCGTCCGGTTCCAAGCCACGCAGACAGCTTGTGGCACTAGACTCGAATAACTTCTTGTACCCACAAGACAAATGATTCGGGTTGATTTTGTATACAACGTTCCGGAAGTCCTCGGTGTAGCGGACACCGTGCGCTCCACGCCATCCAACAGAACTGTGCAGTGAAGGTCTTGTCTCTGCATCATTGACGATGATTTCGTGGCTAAAGTTATAAGAAAATTGTTTTGACATATTACAGACACAAAACATCTGCCGTATATTACCTCACTAGAGTGGACGATACACATTGACGTGGTAGGGCTGGGGAGGGGAGTGGACGGTCATCTATGCATTCTTGTTACATTTAGAAGAGCACTCTAAAAGAATAAGTGTCGTTAAGGGCTACCTTTATGCCATCAGCCATATGCTTCATATTTAGCGTACGGAAGCCATAAGAAACGATGTCCCGTGACATTCTATTTGTCTTAATCACTACATGTACTTTTAACTCTCATTGTCATACATAGGAAAAGCACAAATTCCGGATTTTAAAAATCAAGTTTATAAAAATGTATCTGTTTGAATTAGAGATACAGTATAACCTTCTAAACCTGTGTAAGCCGGACCAAAGTATATGGCCGGTTAAACAGGGTCCGGCTTACAGAGAGTCCTTTTTGGGGGGTATCAAATTTTAAAAATATGTGTTTGTAAGTGAATATACTTGAAATGTAGCACTGGATTTTAAGAACGGGAAATAAAGAACTACTTCAATTGTAATGTATAAATATTTATAATAATGTACAATAAAATGCAACGGATCGCATATTTTACGCCTGAAAAACATGGATGACCGAGGAAAAATAGGAAGACCGAAATGAACAGGGTGTATTACATGTAACAATGACGTTCAAAGAAATAGGGTCCGAATAAGACATGGTGGGCGTACTATACTTTAAGAGAAGAAATGCCGGGACCAAATGGCAAAGCCGGTATAGACAGGGAACCGGTGAAGGCAGGTTATACTGTGTCTGTATTTCAAGTTTATTTCAACTAGAGACACATCTAAATGAAATATTGATACATTGTATACATGTACATGTACTGTAGATAAAATAGAATGATAGAGTGGAATAAATGTATAGAGGTTTTTCTGATAAAAAAATGTGTTAAGAATATGATTGTTACTTGGGTTTTCTTAATGCATGAATAAAAGCGTGGTAATATATAGACATATTTTATAAATAATTGTCAGTTACAAACCGAAAGTATTATCCAGCTAAGCGAACTCAAAATCATAGATTGGTCACAGTCCCGAGGTAGGATCTTCGGCTCATCACCGAAAGGTCCCGTGTTGGAGCCCCGCTTCCCCATTTATTATTTTATCAAATATTTGATAAAATATATTCAACATTCTTGCGCTCGTGCAGAGGTGGTATACAACAAACCACGTGGTATAATCGTGTTTTACATTATATTGTTGTCGCCAACATGTCGGACTGTGACTCGGATACAATTTTAAGTCAGGCGCTTGACCTCGCTGAACAGTTTCATGCTGTTTCGGGGGGAAGTTCTGGTGATGACAGAGGGATTTTTCTAACTCAGGATACGTTTATAAACGCTACGACCAAATACTTTAATGCTATCAAATGTGCTATTGACGTGGCTGACATGCTTGAGGAGGGTGGACCGACAGAAATTGCTGCTTTCCGACGTTTTCCTGTCTTTCATGGTAAGAATGATTAGTAATGAAATATTTTTTTAAAAAGCGGAAAAAAAGGGAAAAAATCAAATCTAAACATTTTTTCCACCTGTATCGTACGTGTCCTAATATATGAAATTGATGCGCATCTTAAAATTAATTATGCTTTCTTAGATTTTTACAGATAAAGACTTGGAGCCCGAGATACCCAAAGAAGGGGACATCACAGGTAACACGTAGTGACATTAATTTGATTTCATAACAAAACAAACAAAAAACATAATAGAATAAATACAAATACATTTACACTATTACTAAACATATATTTACAAAAGTATTGAACATGAATTTACAATATTATTGAACATGCATTTACAATGTTATTGAACATACATTTAGAATAGTATTGTACATACATTTACAATATTATTGAACATAAATTTGACATACATTTACAATATTATTGAACATTTATTTACAATAGTATTGAACATATATTTACAACATTTTTCAACACATCTTTACAATCTATCTAACATTTACACATGTACTATTGTTTTATAAATTTTTCAATACATGTACAACTACAAAACACTTAACTTAGATATAACTTCCGGAATAGAAATAGTAAATATCGAACATAATACACGGTATATAGAACTATTCAATTCCGCAGTTTATGTGATACCATGGACCACATTGTAATATAATACTTATTTGATTGCAGCACAATCTCGATTTGCAGAAGTTCATGCTGAATTGGTAGACAACATGGTCAAGCCGTTTGTTCCAGAGAACACAGCACGGAAGAACAAATGGGCAATAAACTTTTACCGGAAATGGCGGGAACACGTTGTCCAACAGAATTTAAATGAAGAACTGGTGGAGTTACTGCAAAGAGAATCTTGAGGACCTTTCTGATGAAGAACTTGATTTTGCACTACCATTTTTGGTACTCTCCTTAAAGCGGGAAGATGGGCGTGAGTATAAACAGCAATTCAGCGCCATTTTGAAACGATTGGGCGACAAATTTCTGTGCTTCAAGATCCCAAATTCAAAGCCGTAAAAAACTGCCTCGACAATGCAATGCAATCGGTTACTAAAAAGGGAGTTGGTATAAACAATAAACAAGCGGAGGTCATTACAATTGAGAAAGAAAATGTTCTTTGGGAAAAGGGGTTCTTGGGATCAGAAAATCCCCAAACTCTTCTGAATACCATATTCTGGAATGTTGGCACACATTTTGGTCTTCGAGGGGGGATGAGCACAGAAATTTGACACGCAGAAATTTGAACGTTATAGCGGACTCGGGTGGATAAAAGGTATTTAGAATACTGCGAGAGTGTGTCTAAAACCTATCGCGGTGGAATTAAACACAGGAGAGTGAACCCCCATAGAGCCCGTGCTTATGAAGCAAATGACAAAACCCGTTGCCCCGTGACGCTGGTTGAAAAATATTGTTCCAAGTTGAACCCAAATTCCGATCCCGATCATTTCTACTTCCAGCCCCTATCCAAACCCAAAGAAGATATATGGTTTTCCGAAGTCCCCGTTGGACACAACAAGATGGCCAATATAGTAAAAAACATCACGAAACTTGCTGGATTCAAAGGTTTCTATACAAACCATTCCCTGCGAGCTACAACAGATATGAGGTTGTTTCAGGGACATGTGTCGGAACAACTGATTATGGAGCAAACGGGCCATCGCAGTACCTCTGTATACGGTTACAAGCGCGCGAATGACAATAAAAAACGCAGTGTTTCCCGCGTTATCCAATCGACATGTAAACATCCAGAATCCTCCCCCTCTATGGCTACCACTAGTGTTTCCAGTCCGTTTCCAATTTCCCCCGTATATAAATTGTGAAATTATTCATCATAGTGCTATATAATACTATACGTACATATATTAAAAGCATTTGTTGAATGTTGTCATGTGTACTGTGTAACGACAATCAGTTTTCAAAACTAGCTTGCGGGAACAACCGGTATTGAATGGAATTTGCACGTGCCCAGGTTGGTATACCACAGGTAGGGGGGTATATGCAAACGAGGCAATATACCAACCTGGGCACGTTCAATTTCCATTCAATAGCGGGTTGTTCACGTGGATTACACACCGGGCTGATCTCGCGCAGGAACGACCTGTGCCCGTGCGGAATGTGACACCGGGCACGGCGCACTTTCCCCTGATTATTTGGTCATGAGACATCCGTAGACATGTTCAGGTCTGGAATCCTACTACAATATCTGCAGGAAAATAAAATCTTTGCCAAGATGGGGGTTGCTTTCATAGCCGAAGCTTACTGTAACATATGAATACATCTTTCGTGGGCTTTTGAGGTGATTCGCCAACTCCCGAGCCTAAGACGTAAAATATTTACCGTCCACTCCCCTCCCCAGCCCTACCACGTCAATGTGTATCGTCCACCCAATATACGGCCGGCCTAGCAAGTTAACGTTTCCCGTCAACTCCCATCCCGAGCTATACAACGTCATTGCTTACCGTCTAGTCCAATCCAAAGTCCTACCACGTAAATGTTAACCACCCACTCATATCCCAACTCTTACTACCTAAATGCATGTGTTTACCCTCAGTCATAGTAAGCAAATGTTTACCGTCCACTCCTATATCCAGCCCTACCAATTCAATGTTTACCGTCCACTTCTATGCCCAACCCTACCAATTCAATGTTAACCGTCCACTTCTATGCCCAGCCCTTCCAATTCAATGTTAACCGTCCAATCTTATGCCCAGCCCTACCACTTCAATGTTTACCTTCACTCCTAAGCCCAGCCCTAACACTTCAGTCGTTACTGTCCACTCCTATCCCCAGCCTTACTAGGTCATTGTTTACCGACAACTTTTATCCCCAGCCTTACTACGTTATTAATTACCTCCATCTCTATCCCCTGCCTGACTACTTCATTGTTTACCGTCCACTCCTATTCCTAGCCTTACTACGTCATTGTTTACCGTTCACTTTTGAATTCTATCCCTAGCCTTACTACGTCAGTGCTTACCGTTCACTCTTATCCTCAGCTTTGCTACGTCAATGTGTACCGTCCACTCCATTCCCCAGACCTACCACTTCAATCCTTACTGTTCACTCCTATCCCCAGCCCCAATACGTCAATGTAAACTGTTAACTCATATTCCCAGCCTGACTACATTTGACGTCAATGTTTACCGTCCACTCCTGTCCCAAGCCTTACAACGTCAGTGTTTACCGTCCACTTCTATCCCCAGCCTTACTGCACATGTTTACCTCCACTCCTATCTCCAGCCTTACTACGTCAATGTTTACCGTCCACTCCTATCCCGAGCCCTACAACTTCAATAATTACCGTCCACTCCTATCCCCAGCCTTACTACGACAATGTTTACCGCCCACTCCTATCCCCAGCTTTACTACGTCAATGTTTACCGACAACTTCTATCCACAGCCTTACTACACACGTGTGTACATCCACTCCTATCCACAGCCTTACTGCACATGTTTACCTCCACTCCTATCTTCAGCCTTACTACGTCAATGTTTACCGCCCACTCCTATCACAAGCCTTACTACGACAATGTTTACCGTCCACTCCTATACCAAGCCTTACTACGACAATGTTTACCGTCCACTCCTATCCCCAGCCTTACTACGTCATTTTTTACCGTCCACTTCTATCCACAGCCTTACTGCACATGTTTACCTCCACTCCTATCTTCAGCCTTACTACGTCAATGTTAACCATCCACTCCTATATCCTGCCTTACAACGTCATTGTTTACCGTTCACTATTATACGCTGCCTTACTACGCCAATGTTTACATGTACCGCACACTCCTATCCCCAGCCTGATTACGCTAATGCGTACCGTCCACTTCTATCCACAGCCATACTAAACCTGTTTTTACCGTCCACTCCGGAACCTATCCCTAGTAATACCACATCAATTATTACCGTCCACTCTATAACCAGCCTTACTACGTCAATGTTTACCGACCACTCCTATCCCCATCCTTACCACGCTGATGTTAACCGTCCACTCCTAGCCCTTCAACTTCAATAATATCTGTTTACTCCTATCCCCAGCCTTACTACGTCAATACTTACCGTCCACTCCTATACCCAGCCTTACTACACCGATGTTTACCGTCCACTCTTATCCTCAGCCTTACGACGTCAATGTTTACCGCCCACTCCTATCCCCAGCCTTACTACGCCAATCTTTACCGTCTACACATATTCGTCAATGTTTACCGTCCACTCCTATCCCGTCTTACTACGCCAATGTTTAAAGTCCACTTCCCAGCGCTACCAAGTCAATGTTTACCGTCCACTCCCATTCCCAGCGCTACCAAGACAATGTTTATCGTTCACTCCCATTTCCAGCGCTACCAAGTCAATGTTTACCGTCCCCTCCCATTCCCAGCGCTACCAAGACAATATTTATCGTTCACTCCCATTCCCAGCGCTACCAAGTCAATGTTTACCGTCCACTCCCATTCCCAGCGCTACCAAGACAATATTTCTCGTTCACTCCCATTCCCAGCGCTACCAAGTCAATGTTTACCGTCCACTCCCATTCCCAGCGCTACCAAGTCAATGTTTACCTTCCACTCCCATTCCCAGCGCTACCAAGTCAATGTGTACCGTCCACTCCCCATCCTCAGCCTTACCACGTTAATATGAACCTGCTTTTTACCCTCCATTCCTATCACCAGCCTTACTATACTGCAATGCTTACCTCAACTCCTATCACCAGCGTACCAGATGTACATAAATATTTACCCCCATTCCCATCCCCAGCCTAATACGTCAATGTATCTCCGGCCCTTCTCCATCATTACCGTAGTAGGAGGTGAGTGGAGGGGAGTAGACGATAAACATTGACGTAGGCCTAGTATAGGCTTGTGAAAGGAGTGGACAATAAATATTTACGTAGCAGACTTAGAATGGAATGAGACGATGAAGATAGACGGAAAATATCAGTGAAGAAAACAGCGAATTATAACGTTCCATAAGCATGACGTCGCAAAACATTATGACGACAATAAAACCCTTTGTACCAGCGTTATACTGTTTGCATCACATTTTTTGATTGTTTCAAAACAACGTTTTAGGCAATATAATCACGATAATGTTCAAGTGTTACCTCTTTATAAATGCTGTGTATGTTCCTATGCGCTTATAAACAGTGAATTTGGGTTATTCTTAAAAGGAATCAACCGTATTAGTTTTAACATATATTGTAGTCCATACAGGATTACTTAAAACGTATCTACAACTTCTCCTTTCATACACATGCATAAAAATATGTATAGATTCACCAGTGTGTTGTAAATATATGTAAATCAATGGTAATTTGCGGATTGATGTAATTCATTCTTTTTCGTATAACGCTCCGCGTTACTAAATGTAAACTCAATTTGAGACATTACTTATATCAGGATATACCAAAACACTGAAGGGTTATCTCCTGAAGTGACTCAGTTGTGAGACTGAAGTATCTGACTGCTTGCATTACTGCATAGTTTTACTTTATAAAAAAAGTCACAATTTTGACGAATACATTATGTATCAATATTTTTTGAGTTTGCTTAAAGCCTTTGATCATTTTGCATTAACGATTAATAGCGCATAGTGTACCGAACTGGTAATTGGTTCCATAAAAAAAACACGGTTACATATAGGTTTCAGTATATATTTGTCCAGATTTTTTTTGGACTTTTTTTGACAGCAGAAAGTATCACAAAGAAGAATAAGAATATAATCAATTTAGAAATATAGTCACGACATCGAATGTTGTATTTACAAATCTAACGTCTTTATGCAATTTTAAGTTTAGGAAAAAATATAAAGGAATGTTTGTAAAACAGGGTCTGTTACTTTGAATACACAGACCAAATCAAATACTTTCAAATAACCGTGATCCTGGTATGATCGAAAATTAGTATTCGACAGGAAAAGACTCACAGTGCTTTTTCCATTGTTATGTTTTCAAGATACGGTGTATTATGCAGGAAGAAAAAAAAAGCCGAGCCATTTTCTAATTCCTAACAGTTAGCAAGCTTAACCTATATATAGGAAAACTGTCTTTTAAAATACAAATTAGATATCAATAAACGCTGAGATAGATAAAATATTAAAACTAACGTGCATATATATAACTCACTAGGAAGTCAAGTCTTCTGAGTTTATAGAAACAAACTGAATGCAGTTATACGCTAATAAGTTTAGAGAAAATAATATTTTCTGTGAACCCGGGGAAACAAGCAAAAAACACGCCCGTTTCTTCTCCATCTCACCGAATTATATCGAGGAAAAACACACACACAAAAAAAGAAGAAAAGCATGAAATAGAGAGAGAAGAAAAAGTTGATGAAATAGTTTCGTACATGGTACTGTTTTAATCCCATATCTTCAGTTAGAAGCGGCTAGAACTTGGGGAACCAAACTTACAAGTATTGATAGACTTTATAGAAAAACTTGTTGGGAAAGTCTTTCCACCAGACGGAAACATAGTAAGAATATTCAGTTTCATAAAATAGTTCACGGTTTATCACCGTCTTACCTCACTGAGCTACAGTACATGTACTTCCACATCGTCAATCTGACATGCATAGCCACAACACAAGAGATGCAGAACGATCCCGTTCAGGTGCGTGTAGAACATAATTAGACAAAGACTTTTTTCTACATTCGGCTCTTGATCTTTTGGAATTCCCTGCCTTCACGTGTAAAATACTCCTCCACTTTAAACCTTAAAGAACTTTTCAAATAGCCTTATTCCCGTTATTATTTTAATGGCCACAGACTAGAAGAAATTCCCCATTCCAGATTAGGACCACCTTTTCAGGAACAATCTAGTTGCAAGTATTTGTGATTGTGGTATCGAAAACGAAACAAGTGAGCATTTCCTCCTGTCTTGTTCTAATTATACCAGATGTAGACATCTTTTTCTTGTTCATCTTCTACCTGGTGAACTGTAGACAACCCACTTGCGGAAAATGAAGCTACAAGTATGTTGTCATAATTGATCACTACATTCATTACCAGTATAATATTATCTTTATTGTATATATTATTTGTATTATATAAAGATACCCGTATGTCACTGTGAATAGAAATGTATCGCTAACCCTAGTGTAGGCTATATAAATCTGCTCGTTCATGTATCCCTCATTCTATTCACTTTCTGTATTTCTTTCCCTCTCATATAAGTTTTCTCTTTTCCCATTTTTTTTTTATATCTGATCAGTCGCTGCCTGCTTGTGGGTTTTTAAAGCGGCCAGATTATCATAAGTTTCAAACTTTTTCCTGAATCTTTTTTGTACAAAATATATGTTATGAAATGTTATTGTGAAACAAAATAAAGTTTAAATGAATCTCATATAAAAAAAAAAGTAAAAAAAATTGACGACACAAACAAAAATATATTTAAGAACAGTTGACAGTCGAAAGTTGTCTAACAATTAATACAAATAGGCTACTTCATGGCAGTTCCATAGGTGCTGGGCGCACAAATACATATCGTTGTATGTTAATATTAGCAGCAAAGACTCTTTTAATACGAATCAATATTAAAATAGTTTTAAAGGAATTTCTTTGATCATGTTTATGCCCAGCGTGTATGTGCGAAGTGTATAGGAAGCTAGCTAGCTAGCTACAGTACATAAAAAAATAAAGTGGTTAAAATTCTCAGTTTGCGTTTCTATGTGTTGCTTTATTTGTTCGTATTATATAATATCTACTTGCTGTATTTATTAATCAAGGCCTATTTTTACTTTTTTTTTCATCGGATAAGAGATCGACCGTTATCGCACGCAATAATCCTTCGATTAATCACAGACTTAATTCCATGGATTAATATCTATAACACATAGTAATCTAGAAACTATTACAATGCGCTATTTTTAGTTCATTCGTGTTATTTCATCATTAATTTTGTAGTGTGAAACAAGTTATTTACCTACCAATTTTCCAGTTGTGAAGTTATATCTGTCATGCTGATGATAAAAAGTCGCGGAATATGTCATGAGTTTTGAACTGCATGAACTTTCCAGGTCATGACGTCACTGAATGTCATAACTAGTTTGACCAATGCCAATCCGGAATTTCCAGCGTTGATGCACTCGTTACATATTTCCTAATTTAAAGAATGACACGAATACATCGATATTTGACATAATTATGTATGAAATAAATTACTGCTGTTCTTATTTTCACGCTTAAAATAATACTATTGGGTACAAGACGCATACTAATCACTGTTTTAATTTTAGAAGTTTACTTTTTCCTGACCTCATGAATAATTCATGAGGATTGAAAGGAGGCTTTGGCTGCATAGGAAGGGTTGCACCATGTCGGATCATGAGAGTGGTGACGAGACGCAGCAGGCCCAGGGTAGCTATCTAAATTTCACTTAACGCAAACTAATAACATATTTTAGTACTAATACTAATGTATTAGCATGCATTCCATGCATTTATGTTATGCTGACGTAGCTGTTTTGGTATGAAATACACAGAGGTTCATTTCAACTTTGTACACAATCACCAGCTCACTTTCGATTTTCGAAAATATAAACGAAATAATTGTATGACCTTTCTAAAACTTAGTACAGCCATGTATCTACAAAGTATTATGATGTCCATGAAGCAAGAATTATAAGTGACAACCACTAGAAGATGATAATCATACACGCGGAAGGTGGTTGAATGTCGGTGTCAGCTGAAAATCCAACATGGCGAGACCTGGCGATTACATCTGTCGTAAACTTGTGTGTATTTCTGAGAGAGTAGTTCTCTTGCTATTCAAAGTTTGTAGAGAAAGGTTACTTATTAAATCCCTTCTTCAACATAACTAAGTTAACACATTACACTGGCAGTTTAAGAAATACGAAAGTAAAATGTGCGGAAGTGTCGGAAGTGGACGTCTGCTCGTATTATTATGAAAGAAGGTGTATTTTTAAAGAATTTCATGAGTTACCGTCTATACGAAAAGCACAAAAAACGGATGCATGTTTTGTTTTAATATCACAATATTACTGGAAATGTCTTGACTTAATTGATAAGGCATGCATGTTTGTTAAAAATGTGATTTGACAGGTGAATTATAAGCGTTTGTTTGACCCAGATTGCATACAAGGTGGGAGTGGCCTTGAACCATGCATTCTGCACTGAGATGTGTAAAGTTACTTTTGGATATCCATAATACATTGCACTATGTCTTCATTCTGTTGTAGACTTTTTCACCTATATTCATCAATAAATGCAGTAAATGATGTGTACATACTGATATAAACATAAACATAATATCACAAACCAGTCACCATTTCCTCGGTATTAATTTCATATCGTTGACATAGGCCTGCTAGTACTACATTCTGCAATTATTTTTTTCTGTAGTAATTGACTTGATTAGCTGTTGTTTATTTTTAACATCAAATAATCATTCTCTGAGCCTTTTAAATTTAACTCAGCCGCAAGGCTGCTAACAGCACAACTAATGAAAGAAGGTCCTGTAATATGTTATTCCCATCTACATTTCTTACCATCAGTATTTCTGTTGGATATCCCAGCCAGCATAAGGACTCCATGCTCACCCTTAGGGTCCTGCTTTGGGCTGTTTATACCTGAAGCTTGCGTCCAACTAAAGATAACAGATATTTTTATAGAAATACCTGTGCTTTGATGTCCATCCAGGCTAGCATAAATAAATGTCACGGTAGTGGAATCTTTTTACATTTATGCTAGAGCTAGCTGTGATGATTGTTAATACAGAACTGGTATTTTAAAATACATAATGACAATATTTTTCATTTCAGGTGGGTCTGTTGAACAGGAACTGTGTACAAAAACTTTACAGATTCAGTCAAAAAGGTTCTATTTGGATGTCAAACAGAATCGTAGAGGACGGTTCATCAAAATAGCAGAAGTAAGTACATTCTTGTAACAAATAGATTAATCATTACAACTAACAGTGTTTTGAGTACCCAAGGACCATGTTTTCGTTTTATATTTGCCATTTTACTGGAAAGAAAATAGCTAGAAAAATCACTGTTTGGCAGTATGTTGTGCTTAAGGATTTTTATGTAAGATTTTGGTTGTTTTTGTATTGTTTCACGGCCCATTGACAATGCGAGTCATTTAGGGCAAAACTACACTTTGAAAGAAACATTCACACAAATGAATGCATCAAACTAGAATCATTAATTAGCAAATTACTCATTGCCGAGGCAACAATGATTCCTTCCTGACAGTTCAACTACTCCAGTCCATGTGAAATATGCTAGTCCAGCAATCACTATTGTTATTCCGGACCAAATGTTTGGCGTACATTTTCTACCTTTGAGTTGTTTTGAATCATATCATTTAAGCGTTTTAAAAGCCTCTGTAATATTCAGTGCAGTCAAGCGCTGCAGTAACCTGTCATGACATTGATGGAGTGAAGAATAATGCTTCGTTACGTGACGGGCAAAACACGGCAAACCACTACCAAAACCAAATCCAGTTAAGATGTTCATTTAATTATTGTACACATCAAACAATTTTTGTAAGTTTATTTTTCACTACTTCTCTACAGCTTCTTAATTAAGGTACTGGGCGAATGGACAGATGTTTTAGATCAAGGTTTATCCATAGTTTGCATTTACATGGACTTACAAAAAGCTTTTGATACCGTTCCACATAAAAGATTAATAAATAAAATGTCAATGTACAGGTTAAGTGAACAGGTTATTAAATGGATGACAAGTTTCATTTCAAAAAGAGAACAAATGGTATCGCTGAAAGGAGAAAATTCATGTTGGACTAAAATAACATCATGAGAGTCCCAAGGATCACCCCCTGGGACCCATTCTGTTCGTACTATATACATAAATGATCTTTGAGATAATATCAACTCTACTGGCTACCTTTTTGCTGATGATACTAAAATGTACAAAGTGATATGTGGGATTGAATATACAAATGATGTCCAGGTGGATGTGAAAAGACTCTACAAGTGGAGCCGAGCAACAAATGGCTGCTAAAATTTCATCCTGTAAAATCTATGCACATTGGTCGTGCGTCAATTGAACGAACATATTACTTAAGCAATGAAGCATTAAAAGAAGTATGCCATGAGAAGGATCTTAGAGTGATTGTAGATCTAGACAATGCCCTAACATCTAAAGACCAAATAAGTGTGCAGGTAAAAAAGGCAAATTCAATGTTCGCTATCATTCGACGAACTTTTCAATGTATGAATGAACGCACTTTTCCGGTATTATATAAACTCTAGTTAGAGTTTATCTAGAATATATTCAAACATGGTATGGTTCCCATATAAAGCTAAACATATTGATATGCTGAAATGAGTTCAATGAAGGGCAACGAAACAAATACTGGGATTTAGGGATCTACCATATCCGGAGTAGCTAAAAAAACTAAATCTACCTACTTTGAGTTACAGAAGTTCAAGAGGTGATGTCATAGAAATATACAAGATAAGAAGTGACCAGTGTCTATGATCGAAACGCATCAGATTTCCTTGAATTGCGGCAGGACTATTCCGAAAAGCATGGTCCCAAACTAGCTAGGGGGCAGGCATTCCAAACAACTTGACCCACAACATTCTAACATTGAAATAAAGAAAAACTTCTTTCTCTACAAGTAGTAAAACTATGGAACAGTCTTCCAGAGGGTGTAATATCAGCACCATCAATAAAAACATTTAAGAACAGACTTGATAAACACTGGATTGATCAGGAAATTATTTATGATTACGGAGCTTACATATATATATATGTATGTGATGTTCATACCCGAACTTTCATATATATGTGTACAAGTCTACATATATATTTAAAAAGCATGTTTGAGTCTGGTGGAGAAGATCATATAGATCCTGTATCGGAAAATAAACTAAACTTAACTTTATTAGTATTACAGTGGCCATGGTATCATATCAGATATTATGATAACTTGCTTATTATTATATTTTTTCAATGTACAGATGTACCAATTTTTTTCTATATAAACTAAGTAAACAATAAGACTCTTTCATGCCCAGGGGTTTTCAAATTTGGTAGCCGAGGGTTTTGTCAAATTTAAAAATCCTGATGGTGGAATTTACCTATCCTACACCCCTTGTCATGAAAGAGTATACTTTTTTTCTCTCATTCCAACTACAGAACAAGCTCATGCAGATACCATGAAAATGCTTTTGGACTGGGTACTATTGTGGAAATATCAACTTTTCCTCTGCGGTTTATTGACGAAAACGAATCTATCAGCGTGACTAAGCATACTCAATATTAGCAAACACAGTTTGCACTGAAAAATTAGTTTCATCTTTTTAATGTGAACCGTAAATATATTGTACAAGCACTAAAAGGATTTAATTTCATCACGTCGCCTTTTCTGCATTGCAGCATCAGAGTTTTCCAATTCTTTATGTCGCGTTATTGTTGAGCCATTGTACTTTGTGTCGTCACATCACGTGAAATGAGGTGTAAGATAGAAATCCCTTACACCCTATCTTACTTTGGACAGCTCTATTTTACACTCACGGAAATGAGAGATATATATGTTTAATCATAACATGGCGAAACATTGGACCCCACTTATTATATTTTTTTCTGCCGTGAATAGATTTAATAAGTTAAAAACTCAGGTAAGTTGTCTGTGTGTGACACCTGAACCGTAAGTCTGGCTGATTATAACTGTACATCGCCTAAGGTGATTGTTACACAGCACACCTAACCTGCCTTCCAGGTAAAATCAGACCTCGCTTCACCCCATCAGTGGAAAACGATAGATAGACCTTCACTTGCTGCTCAATTGTCATATATATATATGTTGCAGTCTAATCAAAACCTGTGCATTAGTTAATTGCTATCCAAAATACACTCTAGCTCTGTGTCAAATGGAAACGATAAGCCCTTCCATCATTTTCTAGCACAAATTCTGATAAAAAAACCAAGATGCATTTTTATAAACATGAGCAATAACCTTAACATGTCATGTTAGAAAACCATACCGATTTCAATGAAAATATTACTTCAGAAGGAAGTGGTGTGTTTTTAATCATTTAAACAATAGTTTTCCAACCGCATTGCAGGTTGATTTTCCATGTCTCTTTATAAGAAGTGTTGAAACCTGGGCATACTGCCCTGGTGCGGGAAATCAAAATTGTGAAGAATTCTTGATAATATTAAAAAGGGGAACATTTTGTCATTTATATGGTTGTTATTGTTTCTATGCAAATTACTTTCTCTTGTGAGGTAATTGACACATATTGCAGCAAAATATTAGGTTACGGGACAAATATAACACACTTTTTGTTGTTGTGTTTCCTTGAAAAGAATTTTGATTTCACAATTTTTGCAAAAGTTATTGCCCTTTGTTTACTTTGGCAATCTCCTACATTTTTCAACTGATCTTTGAAACTTGGTAAATCATAATATTCTCTGGCAAATATGATATCGTAATAAACAGTTTCCAGTTTCCACAGTACTACTACTCCTAGCTTCCCCGAAGTCATAATTATAAGTTGTATGCATGAGCCTTAATGATTACATAAATTCTCATACTGTTTCTTCTCAACAGGTTGGTGCAGGTGGGAAGAAAACTCGCCTCCTTCTGGCCATGTCTATAGCAGCTGAATTTAGAGATTATCTAACAGATTTCAGTGAACATTATGCTTCCCTCGGTAAGTTGTTAGTAAAAATTGATGCACTCCAACCAGGGTGACCTAATTATATAAGTTATTTCACTATTTGTGATCAGGAGACATCCCCTAGTAGATTACACAGAGGTCACGTATTTGTTTAAAGTTATATACAAAGGAATTGCTTTGTAGTAAACATGTTATACATTATGAAAACTGGATGGTTTAGTGGCAAACAGTTTTATTATTAGGAAGGTAATGATACATTTTCTTAAGATATTTGAGACAATTTATCTAGATACAGGACTCACCTACCATTTTGGATGTATTGCGATAAATATGATACTAAATGAACAGGAAACATAATAAAATCTTCTTCCAGATTTTGCTGGCTCAGAATTTTACAGTATTCATTTACAATTAAAACATAGACACTTTGAAATAATTCCATGCTGCTTTAGTTGTATGGGTAGTTACCGGTATACCCCCGCAGCGAAGTTAGGGGGGAGGGGTGTGTGTGTGTATATACTCGAATCACCCTGTCTGAATGTCTGTCTGTCGTCTACAGTAACTTGTCGGAAGCCTCCTCCTTAACTAACAGGTGGATTTCAGTGAAACTTTGCATGAATGATCAGTATTTTATGTAGTTGTGCACCGGCATTTAATTTGGGATTTCGACCCTTTTTGATGGAGGTATGCTCCTTTGTGCAAAATCCTTGTTACTGATGGGAGACGTGGATTGCTTTGCAATGCTTTGCCTTATTAGTAAGCGTTCAACTTACAATTCTGGTTTATATAGCAGCCAGGGTATTAGTTAGCCTTTGGCTTACAGTTCTAGTTTGTACTGTGCATAAGTTTTTCATTGCTAGGTGTTCAGTAAGCTCAGATCTTGTGGTCCTTGAATGCCATTTTGAATAAGTGGACACATTTCTGCAACTCTCTGCAGTTCTGTGTTATTTAAATTATAAGTACAGAATAAACCTCCCAGGTTTTTCCCACTATAAAAACAGGTTTTGATTTCTAGAGTGGTGGTGTAATAATACCTGTCATATTAATGGGTTTATGGTATTGCATTTACCATTTTTTTCTTGAGCATATGGTCGTCAGTTTCTCCATGTCTCTTTTTGACTGAGTGACCAAAACAGATGGTTTCTGGATTATTACTTTAAAAGGGTTTATCCTATCAAATTCGTGTGAATGATGCCCCAAAGGAAGGGGGAAAACCTATCGGCTTTAAGGTCCCCATGTCAAAAGTCAAGATCATAGAATCTATTTTAAATAATATATATATAAATTTGAGGAAATCACAAGTTTCTTGATGCTATAATTTTCATACCTTAACAACATTTTGATGGTTGATGGACCTTAGAAGTTACAACTGGGAAGGTCAAAGGTTAAGGTCACACTAGCTATAAAAATATTTATCAATGATAATTGTAAAACCATAACAATTAATTCTATGTAACTTGTAAGCCAATTTGGTTGAACGATGAATGAAGAGGAATGCCTATTGATTTTGGGATCACTGGGTAAAATTATCAAGGTCACAGAGGCTATCTAAATGTTTGGGAAGTGCTGGTTTTCAGATGCTGTCTCTTAAAAGATATTAGATTTAAAGCAAACTAAAATGGCTAATGCCCCTGAGGAGGATGGAGATATGTTTGAGTTTCAGGATATCTGTGGAAAAGCATTAGGATGATAGGTCTATAATTTGAGCATATGCCCCAACCACCTCCAAAAAAAAGAAAAAAACAGGAGGTTATAATTCAGGGATCATATGTTGGTTTCACTGACTTTTCCATCTTGTTCTTTGTATTTAATTTCAACTTCTTTAAGTTCTTTTTCAAAATCCTGAAGGACTAGAAAATATTGTTCTTGCTCTCTGACAGTACAGCTGTAACTACAAGTACATGTTTACACAACTTCCATCTGTTTTGTGATAGCAGTTTGACCAGGATGTCTGTAAATATTTTGTTTACATATATCATGATGACACACCATATACTGTACTCCATGAACTGTCATGTGACAACAGCTTTATATAACTTACAGTGTAGACAGGATTATAGTCCTGTTCAGATAGGAACAGCCGTAAAATCCAGCTGAAGAGATTTTATAACTCTAGATTGATGCTTTTGTTCATCATGTATAGTGCCTTTGAATAATTTTATATGACGCTTTATAACAAAAATTGTTTAATATTATTTGATGTAATATTGTTAAGTTTATTGATGTTGAAATGTGTGCTTGCCACCCAAACTAAGCAATCAAATCACCCTCAATTAAGAAATTTCTCATGCTGTCCCAACTTTAAATTTATCATACCAGTACATAGTAAACACTTTTAGATGTTTGTTTTACTTTTTACTCATGATTGGCTAAGTAATTTAATCTGTCACTAATTCCAGAGTGATCAGTAATATCTTTACCAAATTTCTAATAATTTGTTAATTCATAAATTACAAGATGGCCATTGAGGCCATGGGTGTGTGACTGGCTGAGATATATTCTCATATACTGGGCAATGTAATTGGGGAGGGTGAAGAAGGTATGATACATCTGTCCATCCTTCCATCTCTCCATCCCTCCATCCTTGGAGCCACCTTACTGAAATTATACTTTTAGAGATGATACAAGGTGGACACACTCTTTCCACTTCCAGCAATATATATAACATTTTCTGAATAAAATAACATCTGAATCAAGAACTTATGGATCTTTTGAATCCAGATAGCCTTCCTAAAGATGATATGTCAAAAGTTGTGCTATTAAGATACCAAAGAAAAGCTTTTGAATCCAGTTTCAGCTTCATGCAGATCACATACTTCCCAAAGATGTGGTTGTTTCAATTGTCCCTTCAGAATACATGGAAGTGTTGATTGAGAGCTCAATTTCTGAATCATAACCACAGGATGTGGGCGACTTGAAGGTCTGTTAATGTACCAGGGTTATTGTTGTAGGTCCTCCGAATCCAGACAGCCTTCCAGAAGATGGTAAACTGAAGAGTGAGACTATGGTGAAGGACAACAGACGATATTACCTAGACCTGAAAGAGAACCAGAGGGGCAGGTTTCTCAGGGTGAGTGTAAGTATCAAATTTTCAATCTACCTTTTGCTTTTTCGACTAGGTGTTGTAAAAGTGCATTAGTGTTTGTTGGATTAATTACCAATGGCCAATTGCAACAATATCATCACTCAAAGTTCACTCACCAATTTTTTGAGCATAGAAATTATACTTCATCACTTATTAATAAGCAAATTTCAACTGATTACAATGGTAGCCTAATTGAAAACACAATATTATCACAATATTATCAGGGAGGTATTCAGAATTATAGAAACGGGGATTTGATAACTCAATTAACTCATTAATTCACCCCTGAAATTTTGTAATGGAATATTCAAACCTTTGGTTTTGAAGAGTTCAAATGTGTCTTCAGGGATGAACAAGTTAAAGGTTTTCAGTTTTGATGGATTTTGAAGCAACCCCAAACTGTATACACATAGTACTAACCTTTATAGGTAATTTGATTTTCATCATTCCTTCAGAAATATTTCACAATCACATCATGTTGACTTACTTCATCACTACAGGTGTCTCAAACACGCACCAGAGGCGGACCACGTTCTCAAATAGCCATTCCGGCCCAAGGAATGATAGAATTTCGAGACTCCCTGACTGATATTCTAGATGAGTTTGGGACGGACGACCACGGTGAGTCTGATGGTACATATCATTTTGTTTTGTGAAGCTGTCCAGTACTCTGCTTTCTGCTTTTCTCTCTGTTTAAGGCCTGACAAATGTGTGTATCAGGAATCTTGACGAATCGTACTGTTTTCCTGGCAACTTGAAAAATTTCGAGCAATATTTTAAGCAAAAGAAAATTGTTTGCTAAGTTGTTGTTTTCCAATCTGATTAAAATCATCTGTTACATGGCTCCGCCTGAACATCTGAATGTGCCGCGGTCAGGGTCATGTTCAAGTGACCTTTAGAAGAACCAATCAGAGGCGCGCTGGCAAAAATTTGCCAGCGAATCGGAATATCATGGTTGATACATAAATAGCGAGGGGTATCGAACAGATTAGTTTTCCAAACAAATATGGTGGCGGGAACTGACGTTTCTGCGACGCCAAGGAAAAGTACCCATTGGGTAATAATTGCGTAGGCAACACCGCCATACAGTCTTTCTTCTCTAATAAAGTTTCGAATATCTTTTTCTGTTCAGGTTTCAGACGATCAATCTCAAATAACTTCAGAACTTTCGCATCATTCTCATCAATGTCCGCCATATTTGTTACAACTCCGAGCGCCCTTTTGAAAGAGGGTCTCTGATTGGTCAAAATTTAATGACCCTGACCGCTGCACACTCTGATGTTCAGGAGTAGTACGAAGTTAACGAAGCCATGTAACATACGATTTTAATCAGATTGGTTGTTTTCATACCAGAAAAAAAAGCAGGAATTTCCCCAAATGCCATATTTATATAAACTTTGTAAATGTGGCAGTGATTGATTAATTTTTACTGAAATATTGGTACAGTTCTGTAGTAAATTTAATTTTTACCCACAAATGTACAAAGTTTTAGATCTACACTTGTATATATCTAACCTGAAACACATGATATATATATTCATTTTGGGCCTTTTATTTATGATTCACGATTTCACAATCTTCTGAACATTTTGAACATTCATTTAAAACAAAAACATTTCAACTAACATTTGATCTATATATATTATAACATACTTATTTTTTTTAATTTTGTAATGAATTTGGATAATGAATTGAAAAAAATACCAAATTTGTTTTTCAATTTATAATGATGAAGTGATCCTTGTAAATTTCATGTATAATGATTACTGAATTAAAACAATGAAAAATCTAATATGAACATTGTGAAGTTAAAACCTTCTGATTTGATTATTACTATGCTTCCAAACTCTTGACTTATACTGTTATAATACTGCAATAATATGGTAAGTCTTTTTAATGTGGGATCAAAGATGGGGATGCAATTATTGCAGTGATATTTCAGAGACACCTGAAAAAGATGGATGGGCTTACTACCAGGCATGGGCTTATAGCTAGATAGCAGGGTATATTTTTGCAAAGCACTATATTTTTCAATTAAAGACAAATTCATCCAAAAAGATCATCCCAATCACAGTATACGTAGTACACATGTACATTTGCTTCTTTCATTGAATCGTATACAGAAAACATTAGGTAATTCACTACTTAACCCTTCAATTAATTACTTAATTCCTTCCAATGTTAAAATTTTAAGTAACTGTCTCTTAGGAAATAGTTTTTGTATTAATATTTCTTGTTGAATAATCCCATATAGAAATTTGAAAATAAAAGGAAGAAAGACTTTTGGTTAACGTTTCAATTGGATGCATGCAGCTCCAAAGCCCTGGAGCCCTATATAGTCCCAAAGTAGTTAAAAAACCAGTCTTGTATTATGCGCCAAGAATGGCTTTGTCACTGTCAGCCTCTGTTATTTCTGCAGGAATCATTGGCATTGCTTTGCTTGGTATTTCACATTTGTCTGATGTACAATAACAGTATTTTCACCCAGCTAATTTTTTTGCCATGCAAATTCAAAGAGTTCACTCGTCCATTGCTTTAAAACTAGGTATTAGCTTTAAATTTATGTATCACAATTTTTGCCTCAATGTTTAATTTACAATTTTACTCAAGACAAGTATATATTTCAAAGACATGGCTACCCTTGGTGATCGTTTTCACAGTATATACTTTCAAGAAAAATGTTAAAATGACTGGAATACAAGAGTTTATAATTTCTACATTGTTGAACTATTTTGTAAATCTCTCGTAGTCTGTATGGTAGACTATTCCTTTTAGACAATTATTCCTTGAGTGGTTAACAGAATTTTGCCATCCTATTTACTACGCGCATCAAGTTTCAAGTTGCTCAATGAAAACTTCAAACATGCTAATTTAGAAGAATTTGAAATGTTTTCTGTATTTACAATGTAAAACTAATATTAAAGAAGTCCATTTTTATTGTCCATATCAATACATTTTCTTGGTTGAAGTTCTATACACAGTATTTTAACAAGTCAAAGGTTAGAGGAATTTTCATTTTTTTTCAATTTTCACCGAATTTATTTGTGTTTTCTTTGGAGGTCTCAATTAGAGTACTAAATGATCATGAGGTGTTGCGTAATCAAAAGCCAAGTGTTTCTCCCACCCTCACTGAGTATCTCCCCTTTCTCTGGCAACCCCTAGATGCAGGTCTACATCCTAGATTTACTTGTGACATTACAATGAAAATTAAATCACTCTTTGACTTTTATAATGGCCAGCCTATAGTGAATTCCATTTAATAGTGAAGGCTGACGATTGATTATAATCGAAAATTGATTGGTTTGTCCTTTCCAATTCTGCTTATTGATTACAAATTTCATATTTAAATTGATATAATTTATTTTAAAATCAAAATGTCAAATGTATATATAATGTAAATTATGCACAGCTCTGAAAGTAATTTATTTAAATTTATGTTTTAATATATATGTGATTGACAAAACTGCATAGAAGATGCTTGTTATCCATTCATTATAAAACAACAAAACCTGAAAATGGTGTTTTCTCTTTATTTGGGTATTCAGCTTAAAAAGTTGTAAACCAATGATGAAATTGATCATCAATCACTTAACTGCTTGGATTACAAACCAATAATGATTGAAAACCGATTGCCAATCACTACCATTTAGGAATCCATCAACTAGTATTTACCGAACCTCACTAAACTTACTACTATAGTGGACGTCGCAACTCATTCTCCCTTGTATCATTACATTTAGATCAACAGCCTATTGCAGCATCCCTGCTATTCTCTCTCCCCCCNCTATTCCCTAGGTACCTCGAAAGTATATGACAAAACAGGAAATCTGAAATTCTGAACCCTTGAGCCGACTCGGGGGATTAAATTCTTGAATTCATTAATTTGTTGTTAAGGTAGAGAATAATGCTATTAGTCTACAGCTAAAATTATTTTATTACCTCCTTATGAATTTTTTTGTAGCTTTTTACTTTCAAGAATTCTTTTGTTTCATTGCTTTGTAGAAGGACAGAGCGAGCTACCTGATAGCAAGTACTTGAGAGTAGAAAACAAAGTGTTTTACTTCGACGTAGGATCAAATCGCCGTGGCGTCTACCTTAGAGTGTCCGAGGTAAGCACTGACTTGTGATACAATCTATCAAATGTTGTATTACAAGTAGATGTGTCGTGTCCTTTCAGGTGTTTATTAGCATCTACACTTAGGTCCATTGAACAGACCCATTGAATAGGCCCTAGACATGCATGCTATGAATGTGAACTGTTAAATGGACAATTTTATGCTGTCAATGGTTTGAAGAGTCAAATCCCAAAATTTTTCAAATTACCAAAAAGATCAACTTTTAAGATTTTGTAAAAAATTATACAAACTGTGTTATTGATGTGCTACAATCTCTTTCTTCTCTTTAATCAATCCAAAAATGTGTGTTAAGGATGAACTTCAGTATGTTAAAATTTCTACGTTTTCCTCTCCTTTTATTTCTCTCATTAAAAGTTTCTTTGATTGTTTTCTACTAATTTTAGGTCCGCACAAATTATCGTACCGCCATCACCATTCCTGAGAGGTCATGGGGAAGGTTTCGTGATATGTTATCAGAGTATGCGGACAGGCCTGGATCCAGTGCCAAGGGGGATAACAACAGCCAATAAACAAAAGGAGGAACAGAGGGAATGTGCTTTGTGATGAGGGTTGTTTTAGGATTGATACAAACTCATGGGTGATGCAGTTAAGGAAATATTATAATTCAGAGTCGAGCAGGCTATAGTGTGATTCTACAGCGAAAACACAGCTACTGAGGCATAAATATCGCTGTATACGCAGTGCTCCGCGAGGGCTGACCGAAGAATCATGAGCGCATGGAATTGTGTTCAAAATTGGTCATGACACAATCAGAAAAAAAAGGACCTGATTTGTCATAGACAAGACCCCATGGCCAAAGCAGTGAGAAACCGTTCTGATGAATAGGTCTATATAGTCTTTCAATGTTTTAGTATGATTGAAATCTAATATTTAAAAAAAGAAAACAGAACAGTTGACTTGCTGTACAAAGGCATTTTAATTGAATTAACATATTTGAGATGCTTATGTTTGAGCAGAATGCAATGAACGATTGTATGAATTCAGAGGATTTTTGTGTAGATTGTACACGAAATATTTACAGTGATACAAGGTACATTCATGCAACCATATCATTTTCCCTTTAGTTTTTTGTTTCTAAGACGAGTTATCATGAAGCACATTTCCTTCGTTTGCTTATAACACTTAAAGCAACTCTATGGGAGTGACCCTATTTTACATTCGTGAGATAGTGCTCCCTGGTAGACCGCAGTCTGTACAGTGTGTCACTTCATCGTCTTTGTGGAAAGTTTTCCGTGATTGTGTATAAATGATAGAACATGACATGGTGTGGGTTTAGCCTGTGGTTTTCGATGGTGTCGCCGGTGTCGCCAGTAGGGGCGTCATAGCTTTATGTAGAGTCGGTATTGGGATGTGATGTCGGGTTGAAATGCTCGAATTGTGGATCATGTGCATGCTTGTTGCCAGTCAGACTTGCGCTTTGTTGATTAACATACTCATGTTTCACAAGGTAGAAATCTGTTTGGATTGGGTTGAATTCAGCACATATTGCATCTTTGGATACGATGTATCCAGACATGGAAATCTGGTCAAATTAGCAGACCTGGCAAGCTCGATAGCATCACCATTCCACAAATTGTAATTGGCATTGAAGGCATCCGATTTGATTAAGTATGAATTTGGCCCATCACTTCTCTGGGTACATTGTATATTTATGGAAAATAGTTAAATTGACAGATCTGGACTTGGTTGAGAATTTGGTTGGTAGTTTGGCAAATGGCACAGTACATCCTCATGTAACCAGTTTGTGGATAGTTTGTGGTATGAGGGTGCTGGGACCTGGTGACAAGACAATGGGTAGGCTAGTCAGATCTATCAGAGAGTCAGTGAGTCTGTTGGGTAGTGTGGTTATGTGGTCTGTTTTGGTGCAGCAAAACAAGGTTTTAAGTTAGCCGTTGTGGGCTAGGGTCATTTTGTATTCCCCCCAGAACAGCTAGCAACATTGGATCAATGTGACTTCTTCTGATAAAAGTGCTTGTTTTTATTTTGAATATTCTTTAAAGCAAGTCAGAGCTGCTTTTTAACTCAAAATGACAGCTGAAAATGTGTTTTTATTATCAATTGGCGATTAAAATGACATCATTTTATATGACAATATTTTGTATACCTTGTATAAATTTATATATAAAAAAAAAAGAAGTTCAATGTTCAGACCACTAATGAAATTGATAATCATATGATCATTTACATATATATATAGAAATGATGGAGGAATTGCCATTGTCAAGCTTGCAAATATTCCGCTACCAGTACACTTGTACTGGGACGTAGTGAGAAGGGGAGGTAAGTCTAGTGTGCTACATTGTGATATTACATACATAAAATGTGTGCAGCCATTTGCTGCTTAAAACCTTGTGTCAGACCTTGTGTCAGTGTTTTGTGTTAAAATCTTACCCATATCTTTGACATTGTGTCAAATTGGTTCATTGATTACAATTCTGTAATCATGATTATTATTGATTATATCTTTTCAGCTTTCTGTCTTTTGGAAATTTCTGTTTTGAATTGGGTATGAAATCTGTACCTGAACATGTATTAATGTTCTTGCTAAAATAGTCACCAATTGGTAATTTGATTAGATTGTTTTCCGAACTAATTTTGGTCTATGTATAGATAAATATATATATTTAGGGTTTGGTGTCATATTATTTAAGCACAGAAGTTCACGTTGGGAGTACGTAATAATTGGACAAAAATTGCTGAATTTGCCTTGTATTTCACATATTATAGGCTGGTATTTATTTGATCTTTTTTGAAGTCTTGTTGACACTTGTACTTGTTATTACCTGTGAATAAGTTCATTCTGTTCTGTCTTTTCTTGCTATGGTTAATTTGTGCCACATCATGAGGGTGCGGCTATCACGTTGTAGCTATAATTAGTTAGGGCCGCGTTGCAATGGTGCCGCCTGTTACGTTGTAGCTATAATTAGTTGGTGCCGTATCATGAGGGTCTGGGCTTAAGATAGTCTGTTTTAATAGTTACTCAGTTAAGTAGTTTTATTCAGTCAGGTGATTGATTGTGAAATGCTATAGTAGATTGTTGCTTTATATATTATTGATATATATATACTATACATTTGTAGGATGAAGGAGGTTTGGATTCTTCATAAAATAATGTTATAATAGCAATTTGAAAGAACCGTGATGGATGCAGCTTTTCAAGATGGAACAACGGGTTTAGGAAACCAAAAATCTCACTAGCTCCGAGATCTCAAATCTTCTCTGAAACTACATTGAAGAAGCAAATGAACCAATCAGATGGTTTTGCAATTTCACCATCACTTGTGATCGGTTGATCCGGGTATGAAAATCAAAGAAGATTTGGAGGTCCTGGACGCTAAGTACTGGACATGTGAAAGTTATTATTATGGAAGGTTTTAAAATGTTTTCAAGGAAAGAGAAACTTTTTTTAATTCAACGATTTTAAGAGCTATATTTGTGTTATTATTTTTTGTTTTGAAGCAGTTATGTACTGATCATTCTGGGGCAACACGCAATATGTTGACTGTCAATTTTTTATAGTAAATCCAGTTGTAGCTATATATTCTTTATTTGTGGAATACAAAGTTATCCTCTAACAGTATGAGCTGCTCCCCCTTTGTTTTTTCCTTGTTAAATACAAAGTGATTTTAACAGTTTTTTGCTTTCTCAACATTGATGTTGTACTGTTTTATAATGCCATTTTCAGAAAAATGAAGGAATTAATTCTGTTACTCATATTAATGATATTTTAAATGTAACACAGTGTTCAGTTAATTGTGATGATTGATTGAAAAATGAACAAAAATGTAACATTATTCCCCAAAAAATATTAATTGATCAACAAAGAATAAAACCTCCATACTGGTATTGGGAAGATACTGTATGTTTCAAAGGGAGATAACTCGTACTGATGGAAGTCGGCCCTTCACAAATAGGTATTTAGAAATTCAAACCACTTCTTGTACCTACACGTTTTGTTAAACAACATTCATCATACATTTCACATTGTCAGATTTCAATGCATGCGTAAGCTGCAAGCTTTTTTTTTGGTTTTTATAGTCTCCTTATTTTTATGTTGTTATTATGTGTCTCAAGAGATTGTTATATTACAATACATACTAGTGCTATCAAATCATTTGTTTTCTCTTTTGAATTCTAAACTGAAAGATGCAAATTGTCCAACAACTTGATACAACTCGAGAAATAACAACAAAAAATTCCAGGTCCTGATTTCTTGAGAAAGTAGAATATGCCACAGTCCAGCTCACACTTTGTTTTCTGAAATCATTATATTTTGATATTGTTTGATGTAGTGTAATATGAATTCTGTTCACATTAATACAAATAAGAAATATTCAAAATGTTTTTATTATCAAATAAAAGTGAACTGTATTTTTTTTTATTTCTTTGTTTAAACTGAATCAGATAAAAATTTCATTATTTCCGAAGTCATAGGAAATCCGAAATCAGATTGTGCTGAAATATGGAAATGTGAATTTTTTTCAATTTGGAGATAATTTAATATAAAAATATAAAAAATTGTAGGTCGTATCTTTTCAAGAGATCAGGACTAGTTCGTTTTTCGTGTATCTAAGAGATATATATGTAGGAGGGAAAAATTCATTTTTGGAGGCCTTAATTATTTCATTTTTATTAACACTATTCCTGGCTCTATCATCGTCACTTCATTAACTAGTCATAATAATTGTTACCAAGAGTTTTACCAAGTTTTACAATCAATCGCGGTTTGGTGAACTCTGTTGTAAAGAAAAGTACAGTGAATGTATAGAAACAAGTTAGATTTAGAAGTGACAGGCATGGATAAGATATATCAAAGAATATCAAAAGTTGGCAAAGATAAAATATTTAAAGTTGGTGTGGATAAACTATTTCAAAGAAATATTAAAAGTTTGTAAGGACAAATATGAAAAGTTGGTATGAATAAAGGAATATTAAATGTTGGCATATTTTAAGTTGGTGTGGATAAAATATTTCACAGAAATATTGAAAGTTTGCAAGGACAAATACTTGAAGTTGGCAAGGATGAAATATTTCACAGAAATACTTAGTTGGCCATATATTTAAAAAAGGTAAGCACGGATAGAAATATATATAAATTGCCCTTGATGAAATATTTCACAAAAATATTTAAAGTTGGCAAAGATAGGAAGTTGTTCTTAAAAGCTGGAAAAAATATTTCATAAAAAAATAAAAGTTGGCAAAGACGGGAATTAATTAAAGTTGGCAAGGACTTTTGCAAAGATAAGATTATTGATAGTTGGTAAGGATAGAAATATTTCATGTGAAATATGGAACTGATTTATTTCAAAGTAGACAAGAAGAGAAAAGTGTTATAACGTTAACATTGCCAACAAATCAGTTGTTTTGGCCAGAGGGCCTACATTATATAGCGTATTAGTAATTTATTGACTGCTGCATAGATGCTACTCATTTATATTGTATGTATGCACTCCGGTATGATGTGTGCGTGTGTACAAAACCCAGCGTATATGTCTTTTTCTTTTTTTTTAATTTATCGTTGAAATAAGGTTAGGGAGGACTGTCAAATGGCAAATACTGTTATGTGAAATTCAGTTGCCATTTGTTAAACAAGTTGTTAACTATTAACTTAAAGCTATAAAACAACCACCTTAAGCATTAGTATACCTAGAATAATAATAAAACCATGCCATTTTCCAGCATTTCCATTACACAGAAACTTTATAAAAGTTGCACATACTTTTTTTCATTATCCCCTGTTTCGCCATGTAGAAGTTTATTTCTAGTTTCGGTTGCATTTGATTTTTGGTCTGTATTTGACACTACCGTCCATAGGTTTTGATCTATTTCCCTTTCGCTGTATTTCACTATACTTTTTTTCATCATTCATTTTTAGCCTTGGCTTTCACCGTGATATCCTTATTGCAGTATTTTATGCAGAGAAGGATATCGGTTGACAATTTACGAATACCTGCCATTCAATGGTATCCTGTTGGTCAACTTCTTGGAATATTGTAGCTTTCAGTTTTTCAATTGACGGGGAAATCTGTAAAGTGCTGAAAGGAGGATTTTCTTTCCGTGAAATCCTTTTCAGTATTAATTATTTCTTACAGCAGGTTCCTAGTTGTTGGGTACTTATTATTGTTAAGATGTTAATTTCTAACCTACGCCTGTCCCAAATAAGAGCAGAGTTGATGCCATGCATAGTATCCTTGAGACTATTTTTTTAAATACTAGAAAAGAAAAAAAAGTAGAAAAAATGTTATCATACTGAAATTCTTACGATCATGTACAGTACATTAAATGGAACAATCAAAGAGATGTTCTCAACTTTGTTGTGTAAGTATTAAAATTCATCATGTTTCACCAGTGTTTGTTTTTATTTTTAATTCAGCTGCTACACAGTGCCTGTGACCTTTTGCAAAGGTATGGCTGACAGTGACCCAGTTCTACTGAACCATGAAGTCTAAGTCTAGTCACGATATTTGATTTCAGCTGTGTGGAGTGAATAATTATCGAATCGTTCAATTAAATGACATTTGACCCACTTTTAAGGTCATTATTGAAAATGAAATTCATTGAAACTTGTTTTGCTTGGAAAAGAGGAAATTATGTTCACATAAATGACTTGGGCTAAATTTTAAGGTGACAGGTGAAATAGGTTATTATTCAAGTATTCTCAACAGGAACATGACAATAAGAGTCCTGGTATATTACTGGAGTTAGGGCCTTTTAATGGTGTTTTAATCTACAAACATCTTTTTCTGCATAACCATGAGGCTTAGAGATGTGACTACTGACATGAGGCTAAGAGATGTGACTACTGACATGAGGCTTAGAGATGTGACTACTGACATGAGGCTTAGAGATGCGACTACTGACATGAAGCTTAGAGATGCGACTACTGACATGAAGCTTAGAGATGTGACTACTGACATGAGGCTTAGAGATGTGACTACTGACATAAGGCTTAGAGATGTGACTACTGACATGATGCTTAGAGATGCCTACTGACATGAGGCTTAGAGATGTGACTACTGACATGAGGCTTAGAGATGTGACTTCTGACATGCGGCTTAGAGATGTGACTACTGACATGAGGCTTTAAGAGATGAGACTACTGACATGAGGCTTAGAGATGTGACTACTGACATGAGGCTTAGAGATGCGACTACTGACATGAAGCTTAGAGATGCGACTACTGACATGAAGCTTAGAGATGTGACTACTGACATGAGGCTTAGAGATGTGACTACTGGTATGAAGCCTGCTTGGATGCATTTGAATTATCTTTTCACACTTTCAGTGACACTAAGGTTGAATGAACAAAACCAAATCAGTAATGGTTGGCAATTCTTAAGTATGTTGGCCTCTTGTTCACCCCAGCACTGTCAACAGTTACTCTCTGTTTTTGCTTGAGAAAGATCTACTGTTCAGTCGACCTAGCTGTAAAACTATGTATCGGAATATATTGTGGGAGGTGATCAAAGTATTTTGGTAATGAAACTATATTTCTCCATCACTTCATACTATTGAAACCAGTAACAGGACTTGTAGGGCACTATTCTGTGACTATATTTGGCTTACTTAAGGCCCAAAGAGCCGTGTGAGCTTATGCCATGGTGGAGCATTCATTGCCCATCCATCAAGTTTTTCTTCAAAATAATGTTACGCGATGTAGTTCAGAATGTCTGAGTTGATTTTGAATAAATTTGGTCTAAAGCTTTGTAGGGCCAAACGACTGCTTTTTGTTTAAATGTAGGGCGTGTCGCTGTCCCACCACCTACCTTTTGGACAGAGGGGCAAAGCCCAATGGGGTATATACAGGTTGATCTTTTGAATTGTTCCTTTTGGGCCAAGGGGACTGAATTATTATCATAAATTATATATAAAGATCTGAACCATATTTCTGATGAAGCATCCTTGGTCTCTTTGACTAGGGAATCGGTTGTTATGTAGAGTGCAGCTCCCTATAAGGGGTAGGGAAGGACAGGGACAATTGGGTATTTTAACTACTGTATTTGAAAACCTCATCCTGAACAGTTGAACGCATTTCAACCAAATTTACTGTAAGGTATCTTGAATCAAATGTTGCTTAGAGGAAGGGTATTGCCTTGGAAATACTGAGAGTTGGAGCTAAATTAGGGAAATATTTACAATATTATAATTACTGAGAATATTTTGCCATGATTGCCAAAATATCCAGGATACATACAGTATATAGCAACACAGGTCCGATCCTCTGGTCCTATTGTTACTTTAAACAACTTTTCTGAAAAACCAATAGGCGTAAGAGGATCATATTTGGCCAGTAGAATACTGGGATGAATGGCTTTCAAGTTTGTTAAAATAAATGAGCTCGACCTTTGGAGGTCACAGGAATCAAAATCTGTTGAAATATTTCACTTCCACATAACGAGCAGGATTAGGATAATTATTCTTGGCCAGAAGCATGCTTGGCCAAGATGAAGAGCTTTCAACTTTGTTCCATTAAATGGCCTTGCCCCACGTGCAAGGTTACTAGGTCAAATTTGTTAAACTTTTTGACTCTTGTGCATACATTTGTATATGGGTAGCTGCATGCTTAGAAGAAGGGTTATACAATTTGTTCAATTAAATTACAATAATGTACTTTGACTCGCTTGCAAGGTTTGACTTGGGTCAAATTTGTTAAAATATTTGAAAGACTTCTTACAAGATACAAGAAATTGTATTTATAGTCGTATATATGAAAACAGAAACATTAGCTCTGAGGAGCTATTATTACGACAAAACATCAGAAAAAATATCACAGCAAGGTAACAAAGATATAAATTAACTACTAAGTATGAGAGAATTGATTAAACATATTAATTAAAAGTACATAGATAATAGCAAGCACAATCTTATGCAAAACTGCTGGGTGACTAAAAGCACATGGCTATATATATACATACATTTTGTATGCTAATATAGCTAAGTGTAAAAATTTACCGAATAAGCACTAATATAGTACAATCTAAAATACATACAGAGTATATGCATGGAGCATGATAAAGGAATAGTAAAAATAATGTCAAGAGGAATAATTAAAACATCTTCTAAATATCGAATAGGATGGAGAGTTTTAAATCAAATTAAAAAATATTTTAAGCAATTTCAGAGAGTTTAACTGTTGGCCAGTAGCATGCTGGCATTAAGAGCAACCACTTTTGTTTAAATACCTTTTTTATTTGATCGTCTTGCAAGACCACTGGTCAAGCGTGTTTCATATCTTAAATTACTCTTTAGAATAAACAAATAGGTTTTGGTGGAATGATGGTATCTCTGTGACACCAATTAAGCCAGAGACGTATATTACTGGCTTTATATGTCTCTGATTAAGCCTACGTGTTCTTGTTTAAGGTGTGAGGATCAAGCACAGGGCTAGCAACGATTTATATCCGGGATAAGAATAAAAATAGCGAGAAAAAATCTCGCTATTTTTATTCGCATCCCATACGTACATGTAAGCAGCAGGTTGAGCCGTAGGTGGTGGGCACGTCTATCAAATTTTATTTTGAATAGATAAGACTTATCGGGTTCGACGATTTACAGGAACGGGCAGGAACGGGCAGAAACGGGCAGGAACGGGCAGCAATCTATTAATAATTATATACATTAATGAATATATATATTAGATACATTTAAGTATCATTATCGGGTATAAGATCTATTTGATAAAAGGATTGCAATTACATGATCGAGGCAGAATCGGACTAAATTATATATATACATTTATGACGATATTACTTATGATACCTACATTTATAGTATCATATATTTTTTTTTATCGGGTATAAGATATATTTGATAAAAGAATTGCAAGGAATTAAGAGTATTGTATTGATATGGATCGGGCAGGAACGGGCGACGATTTACAGGAACGGACAGAAACGGGCGACGATTTACAGGAACGGACAGAAACGGGGGAGGATCGGACTTATTTATATATATTTATTGTATATATTTAATTATCTTTTTCGGGTATAAGGTATATTTGATAAAAGAATTGCAATTACATGATCGGAGCATAATCGGACTGAAATATATATATATATATTTATGTCGTCATTACTTACGATACCTATATTGATATTATTATATAATTTTTATCGGGTATAAGATATATTTGATAAAAAGATTGCATCGAAATAAGAGTATTGTATTGATATGGATCGGGCAGGAACGGGCGACGATTTACAGGAACGGACAGAAACGGGGGAGGATCGGACTTATTTATATATATTTATTGTATATTTTTAATTATCCTTTTATCATGCAATTACATGATCGGGGCAGAATCGGACTGAATTATATAAATACATTTATGTCAATATTACTTATGATACCTACATTTCTAGTATCATGTTTTTTTTTTATCGGGTATAAGATATATTTGATAAAAGAATTGCAATTACAGGAACGGGGCAGGATCGGACTAAATTATATATATTTATAAATTGCCAGGCCGAGGTTCCAATATATGTCTCTGGTTTATTCTATCAAAAAAGGTTGTTCAAAGAATTATATATTACATATATAATAAATATGTATCTGGGTTATTTTCTCATTTATATATATGACATTGTTATTGGGATGTCATAACACATGAAACATTGGAAATGACATTATGATAACCAAATTTTAATAACTTCATAACTTATACTCAACTCTTAATAAATAGCATGAATATATTTTGAGTGAATGAATTGGTGTTAATGTGTAGATTACCATCCAATCACGTCTACGATCTTAAAAAAATAATCATTAAGATTATATTAATCCTTTGTTCTTGTACTTATTGATGTGCAGACGGTTAACAGTTCAATCAAATGAAACTTCTAAGTATCTTTCAAAGAAAATACGCAATTTTCCAACTCAAAAAAGTGACATCAGTCTGAAAATTAAATATTATTCTATATGTAAATACAGGGATGTGTAGTCCACGTGTTTTACGTAAATAAATATTGAAGTCCATATGTTGGATTGTTTGGCCACATAGGCCTTATCTGTTATAGAAAAACAATGCTGTATATTAATTGTATATGTATCGTAGAAAGAAAAACGGTGAAACGCTTTAAGTTTCAATTTTCAAAGGCCGGTGTGGTCAAAACCGATTATCTAATTCCGTAATAGTAGACAATAGACTTCTTGTTCTAACAAAAACGTACATTGATGACTCTGTCAGCAAATTTCTTAGCCATCAATCACCTTGCGACACAAGCCAATCATCGTTACAGGTAAGTACCCCACCTTATCAGTGACCCCGCCCTCCTGTGAACACATATGTTCTAGTTCTTTATTAACTTTAAGTCTTGCGACTTATCAGTGTAAACATATATTAAACAGGATATTTACATATGTACAAAAAGCCACATTGGTCACAGGAGAATGAACAATACACACATACAAACTGTCATATATCTGATCGGCGCTTATTTGCGATACTTTCCAAGATAACATAATTCTTTAATATTCTGTGTATTAACTAATTGAACAAGCTTATATACACTAGGGTTATTTCTATAGTAACATTTTAAATACTTCCGTCGTAAATCTGTATATCTTGTGCAAACTAAAACAAAATAACACTCGTCTTCTATGTCATTAAGATTACACTTTGTAATAACATAAGCTAAATGGTTAATTTGTTGGCTTTTGAATATTGGCGTCGCGTGCCGAGTGAACAATTTAGATTGGTTAATTACACATATATGATTATCTTGTCTGATGAAGCTGAGAAAATGAATTCACCAGCTAAACTCAAAACTGTAAAACGTCAAGAACAGATTATTCAATGGTATATCACCGGACAGCAACGCAGACGTTTTTCCACAATAAAACGTTTCAAATTTGTATTCTCTGGTCTTATATGAACGTGCATCAAAATAGAACACATTTCCTTTGAACATTTCCTATGTGTCTGGTAAGCTCTGTCTCGTCAGAGACGTCTCGTGTGCCAATCAACTTCGCTTTCAATATCAGGCGGGATTTGGTCTGTACAAGTGGTTGGGAATCGTTGAGATTCTTTTTTCGTTCAACATATTTCATTTTAATTAAAACATATTGTATTGCTTCTAAATTCAAACAAGAGGATTGGGCACAAGTTATTACAACTTATTAAAGCCCTCTCCTCAACAATTGTACTACAACAATGTGATAGCGACAATAGACATATATGTACATTTTATACCATATAGTACAAGGTAGTGGTCACAAATTGTTAAAACTTTTCAAAACCTTCTCCCGTAAAAGTAAAACGTTGCTCATCGCAGTCAGTTGCACAATTTTTAGTATCTTTATCACTAAACCAATTTATTAAATTAACTTCTGAGAAAAAGCTGTTATAACATTGTAATCCACCTAAATAAACAATACCTGGGACTTACATACATGTTGATATAATGTTTTATAATTAAAATTAGATATTGTACACGGAATTGGATAAAGTCCGTGGTTATGCATTCATATAACTTGATGTTTTTCAAGACTTAAATTTGATTAAATAAATTCGACGAGTATTTAGTATGAGTAGATTTACTTTTCACAAGCATGTATCTTTAGTATATATTGGAACAAATCTATATTTATACATATTATAAACATGTATATCGATAGTTGTTATAAATATGTACGTAAATACGTTTATAACGTTCATTGCATAATAAAATTATTTAAACATCTGTTCTAATTTAGTTGACTAAGTAATTTTTGGGAAAATCCTCTATTCTATTCAAAATTTATCTCCGTTTTCGTCGTCATTGCATAACCAATATATATATATACCTGTAGCTGTGATTTAGATTCGGTACCAGTATACACCTCATTAGTGTACCTTCAAGAACTTGAATTGTTAAGTGCCCGGGGGCACAGACCCGGGATATTTGCCCGAGTCCAGAATGGAGCCGTACTCCAGACAACAGATTTCTGTTATTTCCTAATTAGTGTCACAAACTCATGGTTATTAAAAGTGTATATATACAGTATCTCTGGGAGTCGAATCAAGTTTGAACACGGAATTAGACAACAAGTTTTCATGTCATTTAGTATTTAGCTTTCGATCGAATACGTATATATTACGTAATATGTAATATATACGTCTCTGAATTGATGTAATGTAATTCCTTTTATTTATCTATTTAATTTTTGAATTGATTAATGACAACCTACTCGTCTATCCTTCATAAGATTGGTCAGAGAACTATATCTGGAAAAATATCTAGCTTGTCCAAAACAGACTATCTGTGATCACGAGTTAATCAAGTAATTGAAAGGACTTCGAATCATATACAATCCTTATACTTTTTGAATTTCATAGTATTTGAGTATCTAATTTAACTGAAGGTTCTTCTCCAGCATTGTTATATAATTGATACTGTTATGTTTAACAAAATTGAATAACTAACATTTTTGAAAAGTAATTTCAAATTTTCTAAATATTTCCTG